AATATACCGTATGATCGAAAAAAAACGGCGTTTAGTTCGCTAGGAATATATTCCCCATCCCATTTTACAAATAATATAAAATGACAGCGATCTTTATTTCAAAGCCAACTCTGACGCCGTTTTTTTTTATCTTATTGTATTTTATTCTAGTGAAAGCAATTCGCAGATAAATTATTTGACTGACTTGTCCCTTCAACTTAAAAATTAAAGTTCCCATTTGTCTATTATATGGGAGAACACACAAAATGGTTATTTTGGGGAAAGTTTCTAACACCCTGGGGAATATGTTAAAAAAGCAAGAAATTTGAAAATCATTTTATTTGTCAAGGTGCATCTTTTCTCCATAGTTTGTTTTTGGATTCATCTCAATAGCTGTTTCTTTGTTGGAAATAGTCGCGTTTTAAGAAGACAATAACGATTTACAGCAGTTTTAGCACTGCAGCAAGCACGCCTTGCTTTTGATCCTAATCAAAACACTATATTATTATGCTCATCACATGCTATATACTTGTAGTGTTTTTTTTGTAATGTCTCTTATTAAAAAGTCACAACGAAAAAACGGCATTCCTCATATAATCTATACTAATATATAAAATCCTTAAGTGACTGACATACTGATTAATCACGATCCTGCTCAAACCACTCAACGTAAGAAGCTCAATTTTGGCATACAGGTTGATTCTAGGGTGTAGAGATTCGATAAGAAGGGATTTTACGAAATTCCAGTTCCAAGAGGGTGAAACAACTCAAATATTACAATATTTTTTATTTAAAAAACGGTCAAGTTTCCGAAAAAACGCTTAAACACGTATATTTTATTTTGTTTTTTTACATATTTTAAGATTGTTTAAAAATGTATACAGGGTGTTTCGAAAAATCTGGTCATTGATTAATCACGATCCTGCTTAAAGCGCTTGACGTAAAAAGCTGATTTTTCGAAAACAGATTGACTTTAGGGTGTAGAGGTTCGATAAGAAGGGATTTTTCGAAACTCGAATTCTAACGGGGTAAAACTATCCCTCAAATATTAAAATATTTTTTATTTAAAAACCGGTGAGTTTTTCGGAAAAACTCTTAAACACGTATATTTTATTTTGTTGTTTTTCGTATTTTAAGATTTTTTATAAATTTATACAGGGTGTTTCATAAAATATGACCATTGAGTAATCACGATTCTGCTTAAACTGCTTGACGTTTAAAGCTGATTTTTGGCAAACGGATTGACTGTGGGGTGTAGAGGTTCGATAAAGGGGTTTCTCGAATCTCAAATTCCAAGAGGGTGAAAGTGAAAACGCCCCTCAAATATTATAATATTTGTTATTTAAAAAACGGTTAGTCTTCCGGGAAAACGCTTGAACAAGCATAATTTATTTGTTTTTTTTACATATTTTGAAATTTTTTAAAAAATCATACAGGGTGTTCCAAAAAGTTGGGTAATTTCTTAACCACGATTCTGCTTAAACTGCTTGACGTAAAAAGGTTATTTTTGGCAAATGGATTTTACGAAAGTCAAATTCCAACGAGATGAAACTACCCCTCAAATATTACGAAGTTATATAATAATATCGCCATATTGTTTTTTCTCATGCTGACATAAATGTGAGAAAATTTTATTCAGTTTGTATGTTAATGGAAATTCTTGCTTTGCTTTATCATCACCATTACAAATGATTAATTCGACGCGAACGAAGTCGCTGGTACACGCTAGTTTTACATATAAAATGACAGCGATCTCCATTTCAAAGCCATCGCTGACGCCGTTTCTTTTTTTTTTTTTGATTACATTGCATATATTATTGTTTGTAGGCAGTTTAGCAGGGATGGTTTGAAGTCCAGAAGTTGTATTCACTAATATTGCTTTAATTGAACAAGTTAGAGATCAACTTCTGAACTGAAAACCATCGAAGTAAAACATTCTAATTTTTTAAAATATGCTATTAAAAAGTACACTGATTGAGCTACAAATTACTTAAAAATTCATTAAAATCGGACCACTAGGGGAAAAAACGCCGTCAAAGACGGCTGGGTAATGACAATCGATGATAATTTTCGCGCGGTCAGTCTCTAGACGTCATTTACTAAAAATTGACATAAAACTGGTCAAAATTAACATTAATTATAGAAATTCTAAAAAAGGATAGAACGCTTCCAGACACACAACTAACCAAACCAAACCTAACCTTTTAGAAATCATTTTTACTCAATATAAAAATAAATTGCAATTTTTTTAAGGCAACTAGCAGCAAGTGCCGTTAAAACATTAAGAACAGATCAAGTTCCTCTAAGGCTTTACGTCGCCAAAATTATAATCGATTGCCATTCTCCAGCCGTCTTTGAGACTGTTTTTGTTTACAGTACATATACAGTATATATTTAAGAAGTTCTATGTAAAATGAGCAAATTGGCAGTTACTTATTTAATTTATGTGAGAAAGTGGTAACCATGTGTCATGAAGTAGAATCTACATTAAAGTTCCTGCTATTATTTCACAAATTTTATTGTAGACTGACAATAGATACAAAATAATTATTGTGAGAGTACGAATACATCGCATGAAATATTATTTTGACAATACAGGGTGGGATTTTTTTTTTGAAAATTTGGGATTTTTTGGAAACGCATTAATTTTAAGTTAAAAAAACATAATATCTTGATAATATGGCAACAGGTAGTTTAAATTAAATTTGCAAGTAAGAAAATCCAGAAAATATCCAGTGGTTCTCAAAATTTAACCAAAAAAAAAATTTTTTCTAATTTAAATAAAATAACTCGGTTATTTTGAAGTATTTTATTCAAAAACAGTAAAGATAATATATGTATTATGTTTCTGATTTTGAACTGAAAATTTCTTCACTTATTTAAGACTCACTCTGTATAAATCAAGTTTGATAATAATTACTTGTTCATATTTCTGACAAAAATCCATTCGTTTAAAGATATGTAATTATGTTTTAGATTTATGTCGTTAAAATAATAATTTTCACGACATGTAACATGTCCTTTAGTATATGTAATGTTTGTTTCGTTATTTCCAACATTCTGAAGCTATTTACACATTAAAATACTATTATTACATGTTTAAAAACATACTTAGGTACTTTGTCTGCAATTTATTATTATTAGTTCGGAATAAACACGCCTCTGTATGCTAACAATAATTATTTTGAGATGGCACCTAGCCTTGAAAGTTTATTCTGAAATTATAAACTGATGTCTCATAGGTGCTGATCCATTTTGTGACAAAATAAGTCGAATTTTATTTCGGATAAGCGAAAAGATGAGGTTTAATTTGAGGTCAATGTTGATTTTTTTACTTTTAAGCGATATACTGGGTGCATCTCAAAAGTGGTTCACCCCCTATAACTTTTTTATTTTTTCAGATAAAAAATCGAGATTTAGTATATTAGTATATGACATAAATTAGGATTGATTGACGTATTCAATTGTTTTCAGTCACTTCCTGTTTCACCGGAAATGACTACAACTTTTGATTTTTAAATGGCACCTTCAGTATTTTGTTACTTTATTGGATAGAAAATGACACTTTGAATAGAATGACATATCGTGTGCCAACTTTTGACATTTTCGAATATGGTTTATTTGAACAATGTCAAAATGAATCGCAACATGCTATTCATAACGACAATTTGACTCGAAATACCAAGTGTGTGGTACCAAATTATTCGAAAAAATGGTTTTTCCAAATATGTTAATGAGCCACCCTCGTTCCATTTGAAAAAAATGAGATATGATTAAAAATACGATTTGAGATCTTTTAACCGGCCAGGACAAGACACGAAAAACATTAAACGATCAAATCTATTTTTCCAAGGCACCTTGATTAAAATTAGTGTTTTTAACACATCCACGGCACTCTAGAGTGAAATTTAAAATTCAATTTTGTTTTCTGCGAAAATGTCAAAAGTTGACATATGATATGTTATTCTATTCAGAACGTCATTTAAGAATTAAAAGTTGTAATTTCCGGTGAAACAAGAAGTGGCCGAAAAGAATTGAATACATCATACAATCAATCCTAATTTATGTCATATCCAACATGTCAAATCTCGTTTTTTTATCTGAAAAAATAAAAAAGTTATAGGGATAAGCCACTTTTGAGACGCACCCGGTATTTTGTGTGTATTTTTTATTTATGTCCAATTTGCTGATAATTATTCATTTTAAATACATACTAGCATGCATTTTCGTAAAATTATTACTTCGTTAATTACTCTCACTACTTTCTCACGTAAAAGCAAGATTTATTTTTTATATCAACGTAGGTTCGATTCCGCTTTTCTTCGATTTATTATAATTTTCTTTCAAATGCTTTTAGCGATTCGAATGAAATTTCGAGGGTAAAAATTACTATAAGTGCTACATATTTTAGTGCTAAAAAAATGTCGACAGATTTACCAGGGACGTGCCAGTGGAATTGGTGGCAAGGGGTTGCAGTAGAATATTTAAAAAAACATGTTCACTCCTGACTTTCTTCTCAGGCCGTTTAACAGTTTTAACACCGATTATGTTGTATCCTGATATTTTGTCGATTTCGATCTCCTTGCCGAGATAAGCGCAATTTTATTAATCACAATAAAATTAAAATTAAATTAATAAAAAATATGAAGAAAGAATATTCTAGTGATGAAAGATTTTTAGCATTAAAATTAAAATATGTCATCAAAATTTCATCCGAATCGCTAAAAGCACTTGGAGAAAAATTATAATAAAAAAAGACTCACCCTCTGTAGCTGCGAAACAAAGCAGAATCGGACCTATGCTGATATAAGAAATAAATCTTATTTTTACGTGAGAAATCTCCCCACGAGAAATGGCACATGTATGACACCCTGTATATCTAAATTAAATTCTGGCAAATATTTAAAGAACAGGTTTTTGGAAAAATTCAGATGTAACATTTTTGTTTAATTTTTTACTATTCTCTATACCAGTTATTTATAGTAAATTAGATTCAAAGATTTTAATTTGTGTTTTGTTAGTGTTACAGGTAAAAACTATGTCTTCTGCAAAAGTGTTAAATCCTCCGAATCCTCCGGCGGCCAAGCCGGAGCCGAAACCCACTCAAAATCACACCGTTACCAGTCGCAATTACGGAAGCAAACAGCAGAACAACAAGCGACGCAACAAGCACGACAGAGGTGCTAGGAAACGTTCAAAAAGGTAGATATTTACCGAGTATTTACCATAACTAGTGAGCAATATATACTTAACTGTAGTTAGAAGTGCATATAAAGTCTTGTTCGCAATAGAAGACTATTGCGTCAAAATATGTTTATTCGCAAAAGACATGCGGAATGAAAAGTAAAAAGTATTTTAAGTAGTCTCTTTTTTGGCGCTAAGGCTAATCTAGACGGGGCCTACTTGGATTACGCGGAATCTAAACCGCGGTCCTCGGCAATGTCATTTATCAATGGCCTACCGACTTGGCGAGTATATAGTCCGATCTAGGAATGATGACCCGTGATTGCATCATAGGTAATTAAGTAATCAAAGCATGACGGTGATAAATGACGCGATAGTCTTCTTTAGTGAACCGAACTATACATTTTTTGTTTTCGCGCACGTAGGGTTCCGTACCATTCATTATCTATACAACATTAGACACTATATTATTATAATTATTTTTTCTGATTTAGCTGAAATTTTGAATGCGCGTATAAGTAATTTAAAAAAAAATGAAGAAACACATTACTAAAAATTGTATTAATCGATAATAAATATGTAAAAAGTAAAAATAAATATGTAAAAATATATAAAAATTAAAAAAAACGATTAAAAAAAAGTCGCCTTGACTAGGATTCGAACCTGCCTTACTACGGCTCCAACGTCATAGCAGCGTAAAGTCCTAACGCTTTAACAACGCGGCCACCGAGGACTTCAAAGATTCTATGTAAAATTCTTACTTAAAAGATAATGTTTAGTGAAAGTACTTTTTTATTTATAAACATTTATTTAATATAAACATTTATTTAATTCTGTTTGTAATATTTGTTCTTATAGCGGCAACATAGATACATTATCTGTAAAAATTTAAACTGTCTAACTATAACGGTTCATAAGATAGACATTTGTGACAGACGGACGGACGGACGGACAGCGGAGTCTTAGTAATAGGGTTCCCGTTTTTACCCTTTGGGTACGGAACCTTAAAAATGATCAAAATAATTTACGCTTTAATAAAAATACCCCGTATTTTCCTATACAAAAACAATAATTATTTATGTCAAAATTTTATTATGTGTTGTAGACGAAAACAACTTGAATCCTATTTCATAAATTTTAATTAAAAAAACATAATTTTAAATACAAAATACATTAAAACCTTAATATTAATATTTCATTTAATTATTATACTCTGTAATTCGATTATGTGTACAGGGCTGCTATTCTTTGTGGAACTTTGCTTTTTTTAGAATAAAATGAATTTAGATCTTTATAATAATCATCCTCAACCATACTCTAACAGAATTATCACTTTTTGTGCCATTATTTCCAAATTTTGAAAAAGAAGTTCAAGGAATGTCGTTGGATAAATTTAGGTTAGTTAACCAATCCCGCGTAAAATGTTTTGTGCAATCTGACTAGTCTTCATTAGGCATTTTGCAAAACGACTGAAAACAGATAGGCTCTTTGTAAAATATTCTTCTTTTGTTAAACATCCTGGCGTTTTATAATATGCCTAGTCTTTTTGCAAATTGCCGAGTTATTCGATACGCCTGCGACAATGTTCTAGTAAGAGTAAGAAATTAGTGAATGTTACTCTTACTCTTTTTTTGTTTAGAGTAAAAAAAAAAGTAAAAAGTATAAGCAAACTAATTCAAGGACACGTCAATTAATTTTAGTGCCTGTTTAATCTTTGGCGTGTCTGTATATACCAATTACCCATACAGGGTGACTAACTGATCTAAAAATAACTATATCAGGTTTCCTGTTTGAAATTGTAACTCCAGTTTTGCCATTTATGCAAAAAAAATATCTGTACTATGGTACCGGACATTTTTAACATTTAAAACTGTTCTTCTTAATATACTGGGTAGTTTAAAACATATTTTCACACTAAAGTTCTAAGTTTTTGAATTGGAGATTTTTTTTGTCTTGAGGCTATATTACTTGGCTTGTGGTGGTGGTTAAAACTAAATGTTGTATTTTACTGCACTGTTACAAACGAAACATCCTGTATTTTATATTATGATACATCATAAATCTTTGTCTAACTTTATGTTATACACATTTTAAATTATCTCCAAAAATGTTATTTAATTCAAAAACTACTCAGTCGTAGTATTTTTATAATCTGAACTTAAAACCACAACTTTACAGTAAAAGTAAGATTAAATCGGATTAAATAATCAAATAATATTTTGAAAATGTAATTTACAGTTGTATACATATTTTGAAAATTTTTATTGAAAATATTGAGCAGTACATCAGACAATTATTTTGATTTTTAAGTGATTGGTTTAGTCTTTTTGTTTTCAGAAGATCCCTAGAATAAAATAAGGCGCTCCTTTAGAATTTTAATTGTAGTTTAAATGGTCAGGTCAAGGTTAAACTCCACGTGCGATCTTGACTCAATCTAGGTTATTGATGTTTGTTTGTTACCTATTTAGTTAATACTTCATCCTACTGTTTTTTCTGATTGTTATTAAATTATTTTTTCGTAGTTTTTCCGGCTGTGGCATCCTGTTAAACCCCAAACCAGTCTTACCAACCAAATTCTTATTGGGAGGGAACATAAACGACCCTTTGAACCTAAACAGTCTGCAGGATGAGGATATTAACCGAGCTATGAACGCTGTCACTCCAAAATCTTCACCGGTTCCAACACCGCCACGCAGAAAAATGCCTATTGAGGTAAAAAATTTTGATAAGTCCCAGAAAAATAAGTAAACTTAGAGGAGAGTCAGGTGTCGGTGTTTAATTTTACTTTAATAAAGTGATGTTTCATTTGAATACAAAGCAATGCCTATTTATATTTTACAGCGTCGCTATGTTTACTTATTTCTCTGAGTATCTAGTACATATTTATATGTACAGGGTGAGGCAACGATAGAGTAAAGTCCATTATCTCATTTGGTTCGAGGTTTACAAAAAAATATTAAATATAAAATATAGGGACGGTTAAGATACACATTTTAAAATTATTATAGAGTATACAGGGTGCTTCAAAAAAGTGTGGCGAATATAACATATGTTTTTTTAAATGGAACACCCTATTTTTTATTTTATTTTTAGATTCTGCGTAAAATTCCATAACTTTTTTATATATAATGTTTTATACCTAAAATTAATAGTTTTTGTAATATTTAAATTTGTTTAAACAAATGTTAGATTGCAGTGTGATAAAAAATTGTCAGTGATGGTATTGTTTCTGAAGTTGTAGAACTAAAATTTTAAAGTTATAGAAAAAGACCTATGTAAAGATATTTTAGTTAGATGCCCTACAAGGTGTTCAAAATATATATATGAATTTCGACTTTGAAATTAAGAAATTTCAAATTTTTTAAATGGTACACCCTATATATTATCACTTTTTCTAATAGATTTTACAAAATTCTTCAACTTTTATTAAGTACCTATGTATGTACCTATTTTTAATAGTTTGTGATTTATTCCAATTTTTTCTATTTTTACCCATATTTTTAATACAATTACCCTATAACATCATAGTTGCTATAACAAAAAGTAATAATTATCAAAATTTCTTGTCTGTTAAGCAAGTTAAGAACAAAATTTGGATTTTAGTTTAATTTGTTGTAATAAGTATAAATTGTAGAGATAATAGTTACAGATTTTCCTGAAATTAATTAGTCAATGTGACTGATATACACAAACAAGCCAAAAAAAATATATTTTTTGGTTCAGTACTATATATTATATAGTACTTTGCTAAGTAGTATAAGAATAGATGTAGATTATCTAGGAAACATCTTCAGTGTGTAATGGGACGGTTTCGCGGCAGTAGTAATATTGGCTTTACCAAATGAAATATAAACCAGAATTACTACGAGAAAAAAAACTTTACTGTATGTCGAAGAAAATTCCTATATCAGTAGTCTTCAACAATTAGGTAATCTAGTATTACCCTAATCTGGGGATATTCGCCCTGACGGAAAATCCAAGTGTCATCTTTCATAATATAGAAATACACCAAAAAATTCACGACGGCGATTTTAGTTTATTTGAGTAAAGATAATTAATTTTAACTAATACCAGCAATTGTAACTAATTATTAAGCTACTTGTTAAAGAATAATTAAACTTGTTAAGTAATAAATAGTTAGTTTTGTCATGGCAACTATGATTTTATAGGGTAACTACCGTGTACCAGCGACTTCGTTCGCGTCAAATTAATAATTTGTAATTGTGATGATAAAGCAAAGCAAGAATTTCCATTAACATACAAACTGGATAAAATTTTCTCACATTTATGTCAGCATGAGAAAAAACAATATGGCGATATTATTATATAACTTGGTAATATTTGAGGGGTAGTTTCATCTCGTTGGAATTTGACTTTCGAAAAATCCGTTTGCCAAAAATAAGCTTTTTATGTCAAGCAGTTTAAGCAGAATCGTGGTTATGATATTTTTAAAAATTTCAAAATATGTAAAAAAAAACAAATAAATTATGCTTATCCAAGCGTTTTCCCGAAAGACTAACCGTTTTTTAAATAACAAATATTGTAATATTTGAAGGGCGTTTTCACCCTCTTGGAATTTGAGATTCGAGAAACCCCTCCTTATCGAACCTCTACACCTCTTAAACGTCAAGCAGTTTAAGCAGAATCGTGATTACTCAGTGGTCATATTTTATGAAACACTCTGTATAAATTTATAAAAAATCTTAAAATATGTAAAAGAACAAAATAAAATATACGTGTTTAAGAGTTTTTCCGAAAAACTCACCGGTTTTTAAATAAAAAATATTTTAATATTTGAGGGATAGTTTCACCCCCTTAGAATTCGAGTTTCGATAAATCACTTCTTATCGAACCTTTACACCCTAAAGTCAATCTGTTTTCCAAAAATCAGCTTTTTACGTCAAGCGCTTTAAGCAGGATCGTGATTAATCAATGACCATATTTTTCGAAACACCCTGTATACATTTTTAAAAAATCTTAAAATATGTAAAAAAACAAAATAAAATATACGTGTTTAAGCGTTTGTTTGGAAACTTGACCGTTTTTTAAATAAAAAAATATTGTAATATTTGAGGGGTGGTTTCACCCTCTTGGAACTGGAATTTCGAAAAATCCATTCTTATCGAACCTCTACACCTAGAATCTAGAATCAACCTGTATAAAAAAAAATGAGCCAAAATTGAGCTTCTTACGTTGAGTGGTTTGAGCAGGATCGTGATTAATCAATATGTCAGTCACTTAAGGATTTTATATATTAGTATAGATTGTATTAAAAATATGGGTAAAAAATAGAAAAAATTGGAATAAATCGCCAAACTATTAAAAATAGATATATGACATACTTAATAAAAGTTGAAGAGTTTTGTAAAATCTATCAGAAAAAATTATAATATATAGGGTTTTAAATTTTTTAAAATTTATATATATATAGGGTTTTAAATTTAAAAAAATTGAAATTTTTTAATTTTAAGTAGTTGAAATTCATAAATATATTTTGAACACCCTGTATCATTTAACTAAAATATCTTTATATATATCTTTTTGTTCATCTCTATAAAACTCTCCTACCAAGTTTTGGTACTCCAACTTCAAAAACAATGGCACCACTGACAATTTTTTACCACACTGCAATTTAACATTTGTTTAAACAAATTAAGATATTACAAAAACTATTAATTTTAGGTATATAACATTATATATAAAAAAGTTATGGAATTTTACGCAGAATATAAAAATAAAAAAAAATAGGGTGTTGCATTTAAAAAAACATATGTTATATCCGCCACACTTTTTTGAAGCACCTTGTATACTCTATAATAATTTTAAAATCTGTATCTTAACCTTCTCTACAATCTTTATATTTAAACTTTTTTTGTAAACCTCGAAACAAATGAGATAATGGACTTTACTCTATCGTTGACTCACTCTGTATATTGTTGTTTTAGGTAATGATACCGCCAAATACACACGATCCTTTGCATTTAATGGACTGCGATAATGACGAAGAGTATGAAGAACACCTTTGTTCTCCAGTTAAAAAAGGTAAATAGTAATGATTAGTTAGTTAACTGTTGTCCCTTGTTTTATTACAGATGTTTGTTTATTGATAAAATAAGAAATATTTTTAAAAATAAACATTTTAAACATATTTATGAGTACAATTATTTCTAATATATAGACACTTTATGATCAAATGAAATGATACATGTAATGTTTCTATACCTACTGTGACATATTTGGTTATATGGTATTTTGATATGAATATTTTAAACCGCGTTTTTTGCTTCTTTCATTAGTTGCTAGTAATTTTTTGCAGTTTGACAGGATGTGGATCTTTATAAAGTTTAAAAATAAATCTGAATATATTACTTTTAATCTGTACTTAAAAATGATAGTTAATAACAAAATTATTTGTAATACTGGAAAATTCTATATGTACTAGTACAGTGTAAGACATTCTATAAATAAATACATTTAAAAGGAAATAATGATATTTTTAGAAGCTAACTTTGTTTAAACAAAACTATCAAAATATTATCCAACAGAGCTTTATCAATTAATTTTAAAAAATATGAAAAGTGTTTTGGCAACATTCCTTGATATTTGATTTCCCTTTTGCTGTAAATACTATTTGTTTACACGGATATTTTTGGTTTGAGATGTCTAAATTTAGTAACCCAACAGGTGTGAACCAACAGCATGCTTTTATTATAAATTATGTATTTGTACACAGGCTGTCATTGAAGTAGGGTAAACAAATCAAAGCGGATATAGTGTTTTCAATGAGGGGGATACATGACAGTAACAGTTATTCCCTGCCGTTTTAACTCAAAGGTAAATTGTATTTTCTGTATGGCATCTATCGAGATATTCCATTATTTTTTTGGAAATTTTAGTCATAAAAATGGTAAAAACTGGGTAAAAAACATGTTCTTTTTATTTTTAAACCAAACTTGTTTTTTTATGGTTTAAAATAGTAGTGGGAACTATCGAATGAATACTATCGAAACATTCGATAGTTGCAATTCATTCGAATAATTCGATAGCTAGTAAGAAAACATTCGTTGAAAACTATTCGAATAAAAATTATCGAATAGGCGCGTCATCTGCCTTGAAATATTGTATTCTAGTAATTCGGCAGCAAAAACCATTCATTTATAAAATTCATTCGTTTATGAAATTCATTTATTCATCATGATCGATTATAATAAAATATTAACTGGATTTTAGTTGTCGCCCGGCGACGTAGGTTTCTTTCCGAGAAACCTGACAGCGGTCGGTGGCAATGCTATGAAAGAAGGCGGCATCTTTGATTTTTTGCGGAGTAGATAAGGACACATTATTTTTTTATTGAGGTGTTAGTGTTTACACAAAAACTACATTATGAAGGGCGCTGTTGCTATATATTGGTATTAGTTGATATTAGCAAAGAATATTATTGTCTGGCTTTAGTCAGTTAGGGATAGTACGTCTATATATTTTGCATTTTTTTTATTAATATTCTGTTGTTACACTACAATAATACTTGTTATTTTGGATGTAGGAAAATGATTTTTAATGCTTTTAAGCAAAGAGATTGGTTTAATAAATAATAATCACAGTAATAATTTGTTATACCTATTAACGACAAAATTTAAAATCATTTAATATAAACATTTTTTTAAGTAGTGGCAAAATATAAACAACAAATTAGATGTCAAAATTATTTATATTAGATCCTATTTAAAAATAATATAGACTCTAAATTTTTTGGCAACGGTTATTTTTTAAATAATAATTACTGAACTAATTTGTTATATTAACAACAAATTTTAAAATCATGAAATATCAACATTTATTAATTTTCTAAGCATGCAGTGTAATGGAAGGAAAATATAAATAAAAAATTAGAAATCAAAATTATTTATATTTGACTTCGTTGAAATAACAAATGAAAATAAAAATAACAATTTTGACTTCGTTGAAATAACAAATGACATGACTCTAGCAGCTATAAAGAAATTAAAATCGAAAAAGTCCGTTAGCACTGACAATATCCCTTCTTATATTTTTAAAGGATGTGCCGAAATACTAGCAAAGCCTTTGACTCATTTATTCAATTGCGCTCTTAATACGGGAGTATTTCCCGATACATTAAAAAAATCAATAGTGGTTCCAATTTACAAAAAAGGCGGAATTGATAAAATTCAAAATTACAGACCTATTAATCTACTTAGTCCACTTGCTAAAGTTTTTGAAATCATACTGCATGAGAATTTGCAACTTTTAATCAATGAACACATTGTGAAAGAACAGCATGGATTCCTTAAAGATAGATCAACTATTTCTAATTTAAGCGTTTTCACAAATTCAGCATCCCTTGTGATTGATAATAAGCAGCAATTAGATGTCATCTATACCGATGCTGAAAAAGCATTCGACAAAGTAAGCCACAAACTACTACTTAACAAACTTATACATTTTGGTCTTTCCAAAAAGGCTTTCGAGCTGCTCAAAAGCTATCTTACAGATCGGACCTGTACTGTTAGAATAGGCAACGAAACATCGGACGCATTTACTGTCACTTCAGGAGTTCCACAAGGGAGCAACATTTCGCCATTGCTGTTTATTCTTTTTGTGAATGATCTTCTGGAATGCATAATGCACTCCGAGTGTCTTTTGTTTGCGGACGATTTCAAGATTTACAAAAATGTTGCCTCCGAGAGTGACTGTATTGATCTTCAGAGTGATTTGACAAATGTTATGACTTGGTTTACAAACAATAAAATGTTTCTTAACATCGAAAAATGTTCATTTGTGAGCTTTACACGTAAATCAACCAGGATAAATTTTGAATATCGTATACATAGTGAAACTCTGACTGAAAGTAGGGCTATCAAAGATCTGGGTATAACGTTTGAATCTAACTTAAGGTTTAATCTACACTATCGAAACATGGTTAATAAAGCATATCAAATGCTGGGTTTTCTCATTAGAAACTCTAAGCATTTCAAACAAATTAGTACGTTGTCTAAACTGTACAATTGCTTAGTCAGGCCTCACTTAGAATATGCATCAATTATATGGACTCCTACAGCGGAATGCAATCGCGATCTGATTGAGAAAATCCAAAAAAAATTTCTAAGATATCTATATTTTAAACAAAATGGTGTTTATCCAGTTTTCCCTCTGCTGGTATCATATAAAAACATGTTAAGCTCATTCAACTTCCAGGATCTACACGCCCGAAGAATCGTACAATGTTTAATAATATTATATAACATAATAAATAATTATAAACTCAATAATTCAGATCTAATAATAATATCAAATTTCATGTCCCAAAAATCAGCCTACGTCGCACAACAAATTCAAATAAAACATTTAATATATATACGGTCAGTTCTTATATGTGCCACATCCTGGACGAATGTAATGCAGTGTTAAGTCAGTTTAATATAGATATTTTCCATACAAATGTAAAAGAAATAAATAAGATCCTAAATCATAATCAGTAATTTTTGTTTTTTTTACTTTGTATATTTTAGTTTCAATTCAACAATTTTTTTTTATATTTATTGCATTCATTGTATGTACAGTAGTTTTAGTTTTGTTAAGTTAATTTATTTAGATTTAACTCCCTTACCTGTAACAACTATTCTTTTGGTGTTTGTAAGGAGTAGTTTAAAATAAAAATAAAATAAAATAAAAAATATTAGGTGCTTTATATTACTATTTAAAAATAATATTATTTACTTTTACTGGCATTTACTTCGATAGTTGAAATCATTCATTCAGTAACCATTCGATAGTCTAATTCATTCGATAGTTCCCATCGTTAGTTTAAAACAGTCTGTATTGTTTTAAACTCTAATGTCTGGATTGTGTCTAAAACTTGTTTCAAACTTATTTTATATTCTGTTTTAAACTATACCAGGTGTGTCTTAAAAATGGCTCACCTCTATAACTTTTTTCTTTTTTTCAGACAAAAAAAACGAGATTTTTTAAGTCAGTCTATGACATAAATTAGGATTAATTGACATGCTTAATTGTTTTTGGTCACTTCTTGTTTCATCGGAAATTACTACAACTTTTGATTTTTAAATGGCACCCTCGGTATTCTGTTACTTTATTCGATAGAAAATGACACTCTGAATAGAATGACATATCATATGTCAACTTTTGACATTTTCTTATATGGTTTATTTGAAACTGTAACATGCGGTTCATAACGACAATTTAACTCGAAATAAAGTATGTGGTATCAAATTATTTGTAAAAAATGCCTTTTTCAAATATTCTCATGAGCCACCCCTGTTCCGTTTGAAAAAACTGAGATATGATTAGAAATACGATTTGGCATCTTTTAACTGGCCAGGACAAGACACGAAAAACATTAGATGATCAAATCTATTTTTCCAAGTCACCTTGATTAAAAATTAGTGTTTTTAACGCAGCCATCGCACTCTAGATTGAAATTTAAAATACGATTTTTTTTAAACAGAAATGTCAAAAGTTGACATCTGATATGTCATTCTATTGAGAGTGTCATTTCCTATCGAATTAAGTAGAAATATATCGCGGGTGCCATTTAAAAATCAAAAGTTGTAGTAATTTTCGGTGAAACAGGAAGTAACCAAAAACAATTGAATACGTCAATCAATCCTAATTTATGTCATACACTAACATATCAAATCTCGTTTTTTTATCTGAAAAAATAATAGGGGTGAGCTACTTTTGAGATGCACTCGGTATAGTGTAGATGGCATTTAAATTTAAGAAGTAGGTTGTAAAGAAGTATGTGTTTTATTATCAAAATTTATTACGTGCACATAACCTAACCTATATTTTTTAATGCATACACTTATTTCATAATTAAATTAGAAAACCTTCAGATTAAACCTACTTATTTCTCATCTCGCTTTCATTAGTTTCACATTATTATGGGAAACGAATTTAAATATTGTTAAAAAATTAATCATATTATTTAATTCTTGGTTTGTTTGGCCTCTTATTATGGAAAACGAATTTAAATATTGTCAAAAAATTAATCATATTATTGAATTTATATATATCTTTGGTTTGTTTGGCCTCTAGTGATAACAGCCAATAAATATATTTGAATTTCTTAAATTCGTTGCCAATCGAACGAGCAAAATCAGAACAGCCAAATATAATCTCTCCAACGCTAGGATCTCTGACAGTGACAGTTGTGTTTGTCATTTTAATTCACAGGCAAGTTGTAATTTCTGTCATTTTTCGAAGTCGTCTGTCGAAATTTTCCCTGAGTCGTTGGACAGACTATATTTCAATCATATTTCTCCGTATAACCTACCGTCACCGTTAATCACCCTGTATAAAATATTTATTGTCAAATTTCAGGTCGCAAAAAACGCGTTAAAAAACGCCGTACCGTCTCTAGTTCCGCAGAGGGTTGTGACGCCGACATCACAGGCAATTCCGAGGCCAAAACTCCAGAAGCTACCACGGATTCGGCAAAGATACCGGAAGTACCGATACTAGGTATAGCGGAGAATGTTACTGTTGAAACAAAGGACGAGAAAGAGGAACCGCCTAAATCTAAAGTGTGCAAAAATTTGTCGATCGATTTAAGCAAAGAAAAGAAAGAGAAGCCAAAACGAAGGTATTTATTTATTGATTATTTTTCACAGAAATATTATTAGCTATGATTTATGATTATTGTGATAGCGGAAAGTTTTTATTTAGATTTTTTCTAAATAGCAATTAGACTCGCAATTAGATGATAGGGTTTCTAAAAGCATCAATTTTGATATTGGTCTTATTGAATTGGTTTCCATGTTTCCATAGTGTTGTAAAATGCTCCAAAATTTATTTTTGGAGGATGTTCCCAGATAATGAACGAAAATAATCCAGGAAATGTCGAAAATTTATAATTAGCGCAAAAAAAATAGGTTGGAAAATCAATCAGTTAATTTTTTCAATTTTATTCTGAATTTTGCCGTTTTTTTATTTTGTTTTATTTTTGGAAAAAATTAGAAATTTGAGAATATTTACAACAAAAAGAAGAAAATTGATAAGAAAAATCCTGGACGTTCGTGAATGTTCGCGAATGCTCACGCGTAACGAGAGCGTTCGCGTAATAGAGAGAACGCTCTCTCTATTAAACTAGTTTCTCATAAACTTTTTCTTCAAAATATCGATATGTTTTCCGTTTGTTACGAACTTTTTAGTGCAAATAAAAGTCTTTTTAGGTCAGAGGAGGGAAATCCCAATCATGCTTCCAAAAAATTCAAGAGCTTTATGGACAAAATCGTGAGTCCGGTGGTTCCCCAGCCAGGAGCTTGGTTGAAAAGGTCTAATTCAGTGAAGATATCGAGGCCTAGGCCGAATAAAACTACAGATGAGAAGATGCCTATGTTTAAAGAGAAGAATAAACGATTTCAGTATGGAAACTACAACAGGTACGTAACTATCTTATAAGAGTAGTATTATAAGAGATGTAACGGTATATTTATTTTCTCACACTATACTGCCCTCTAAAACCAAAGGTCTTGTCTATAATCAAACGATTTAGGCTGGTTTTATCATATAGTACAATTAAATTAGCATCAGGTGTAGTTTTGTTATTCAGGACAAAATATTTAAACATTAAATCCATAATTTACAGAGCAACGATGTATGCCGCTTTTTATTTTGTCCCTCTGTCTGACAACTGGTCATTTATATTTATCTCTGTCGCATGCATTAAAATACAGATCACTGAGATAAAGTGTCCAGGACCGTATCTAGGGCACTATATGCATGAGCCAACTAGGATAACAATCTAATTTTTGGAATTTTGCAAATAGAAGTGTATATAGGGACTATTTTCATGAGCCAGTTAGGATAACAATCTAATTTTTTGAATTTTGCATATAGGACCTTTGGTTTCAGGAGTGCAGTATAGTGAAAATCGCTTTTGCGATTCCTACTATAGTAAAAAACTGTTCTACTATGATGTTAAATTATTTACTGTAACAACACTAAACCAAACCATTTTGGTTTAGTGTGGTAAGTTACCACTGGTCTCTGAGAGATATTACCTTACAATAAACGTACATACTGACTTTGTTAAAGAGGTTTTTTTTTAAATTTACTCTGAACTAAATTAAAAATCCTTTAATAAATATTTGTTAATATAGCTGGCTATTAAGCCCTGTCTTCACATAACGGGTTCTGTGTTAACTGCCTCTGAGCTAACATGGAAGACCTCTGTAGAGGGGCTCTCGTCTTAACCGCGTCAAAAGTACTCATACTTTAATATTATTGGAGTGGTGGAACGGCGGACGACGCATACGGATATAATATGAGGAGCAGACTTTCTAGATGCATTTTATCCATTTTTTCGAATTTTGGCAAACAAAAAAAACTCACGCTTTTTGCAAGAAACTTACCGAAAAACTAGTATACTTGAAAAATGGATAAAAAATTATAAAAATAGTACACCTACATTTGAAAAATCTAGTTTTGATGATATCTGAAAAAATTGAAAAAAAAACTGTTGACTGTTCTTTAGACGTGAAATTTCTCTTTATTTTTCTGCTATGTTTAAACTACATGGTTCACAATTAGTTCCTAAAGTAGTATTATTCAAAAAATAGAGAAGTTATAGTACAAAAAAACTCTTCATCTGGCAATGACAAACAGCAGTATTTCCACAGTGGACATATTTCTGTTTGCTTGTCTACCGCCAATGGACATACAGCACATAGAAAGTCTAAAGGAGGGTCCACATTTAGTAACATGTTATATAACATTGCTATTTAACAAGCTACATGTAACATGTTAAAAAACCGGGAGCCGTCCACATTATAGTTTTCGTAGTCATGAATCGTTTTGGCGAGAAAGAGGTTCAGCTCGCAGCAGCGGCGTGCGTAATTATTTTTGAACAAAGAGAAAGAAAGTCGAGAAAAAAAGGCGGCTTTGAGTCCGCCATAGCCTACCAGCAAGATCTAGATACAGTTGAACTCAATTAGCTTATCTTTTCAATACTTGCCTCGGCTGTTTCTCGTGGTGTGTTTCTGTCTTTTAAAACCATTAATAACTTAAAAGCAAAAGCAAACCATTTTGAATTATCCACTTCATTTAAACCATGCAGTACCTGATTTGCATTTCTTTTGTTCCCACTGGAACTGGCCTATTAGATAACGCATTTTTTTCTCAACTTTTTCTCTTTCCAAATACTGTGAAATGAAGATCGCTGTCATTTTATATGGAAAATTATATGGGGAATGTCATCGATTGTCATGTCCAAGCCAACTGGACGGGAGGTCGACGGGACGCAGTTTTTTTCGATCATACGGTATTATTGACCAGTAAATAAACAAACCAATATCAGCTCATTACACTAAGATTCTGTCGCGCACGTCCCTGAAAATATGAGCGGCTAAACTAGAAATTTAGCAAGTGTGGACGCGTTGTTTCATGTTACAATAGCAATGTTGCAAAACATCTTTTGAATCTAGCAAGTTATATAGCATCGAAATTTGCTAAATATAACTAAAAAATATGTAACATGTTATATAACTTTGCTATATAGCAGTGTTATATAGCAAGTGTGGACCGTCCTTAAGGTATTTTCTCCATTTAATTCGAATGGGATAAAATGTATTTAACACGTCGTTTCTGGTATCGTATGTAACTCTGTGTATGTAATTTGCAATGCCACTTCTGTTTGAAAATCTTAAAAAATGGACTAAATGTATTTAGTAAGACTGCCTCTCATATAAACTCACCTTTAGATTCTTAAAAGTCGCTCGTTAAAGATGCTAATATATGCTTATTTTTTTTTTGTAAATTTACTTATATTTTTTTAGTGTAGACAAAACAACAGTTAGTTTTGTTGTAAATTTGAATGATCCCGTCGTTAGTTCTTTAGACGGTCTCCAGCCTTAATTTAGTTCATGTAAAACGGTCCGTTTTTTTCGTCTACACGCAATGTTTTACTTGATACATTATAACTGACCAGGTAAGACTGACAGGTAAAACGTTAAGTGTAGACGGACCTTTAATTAGTATAATTAAAACACGGTATTTTATTGCTTAACGTTAACAAAGTTTTTTTTTTGTTATATATTTTATGGTTTTTTTTGTCGTATTCTCTATAAACTATAATAATACTGGGACATTTAACAGTAATTACCGTTGCCAGTGGTAAAATATGTGTTTGGCTGCTAAAACAGTAATTCAGCCTTAATAGTTTAAATTACCTTTTTAATGGGTCAATAACGAATATATAGATACGTCCTATAAAATATTTTATTACTAAAGGTAATTTAAAGCTAAAATTAATTCCAGACTGTTTATAAATATTATTTTTAGCTTTAATGTTTTGTTTCAATTATTTAATTGTATCATGTTATGTTAATTAGTTACAGTTATATGTAACAGTATATTTTTTACTTGATTTCTAGATATTATGGATATAGGAATCCCAATAATGAGACTGATCACAGGTTGAGGGTTTTTTCACATCATCCATATCTTTTTGAGGGCAAAGATATTTTAGATATCGGTTGCAACATTGGCCATATTACATTAAGCGTAGCAAGAGATTTTAGAGCTAAAACAGTCACAGGTAGGAATCATTCATAATTATTTTGTATTTTTTGTATGCTGAGTAACTGTTTAAAACCATTTTCAAACACTTTTCAACTAATTTATCTACTGTGTTGTTATAAAATGCTTGAGAATTTATTGTTGGTGAGCGCTACCCGAGAATAAACAAGCAAAAACGAGTAATGTTGAGATTTATAATTAGCGCAAAGATAATAGATTGGGAAACCAATCAGTTAATTTTTAAATTTTATTTTGATTTTTTTTTCGTTTTATTGTTTCTTATTATCTTGAGAAAAAATGAGAATTTTGAGAACATCTAGAACAACAAGAAGAACCAAATTGTTAATAGGTATTCAGAACACGTTATTCTTCTTTCTGGGTATATTTATACTGCAGAGTAACTATTTACACTACATACTGCAATTTGCCAATTAAAACGGCAAATCTGTAGCTGAATATATGAGAAAATATTGTTTTTTTTAATGTTATCTCATTTTACTGGAGAGATGTTCTTTGAAAGTTTCAATTTAATTTGCTCTTTAATTTCGGACACCGAAAAATACATTATGAATTTATTTATACAGGGTGGTCCGAACTGTATTCCGGAAACTTCGGCAGCATATTCTGCAGATAAAAATAATTAAAAAATGTTCCTATAAATGTCCTGAAATGCTTAGTTTCGGAGATACAGGGTGTAGAAGTTTTATTTTTATTTTTATTTTTTCCAAATAATTTATGAAGTAACAGTAATATTTGGATGAAAATTGATACTGACGAAAAGTTATTACCCTTCAAATCAATTAAAACACATGTAGGTGGCGCCACCTACAAATAGGAGTCATATTGACATCAAAATCAAATTTCTCATGTCAAAAAAACTCGCAGATACCGATTTTCATCCAAATATTGACGTTACTTCATAAATTATTTGGAAAAAATCGAAATAAAAATGAAACTTCTACACCCTGTATCTCCGAAACTAAGCATTTTAATACATATATACATGTATATGAACCTTTTTACTTATTTTTATATGCAGAATATACTGCCGAAGTTTACGGAATACTGTTCGGACCACCCTGTGTAAGCAAGTTTGTCTTGACTAAATTCCTATCTCGATTTTGTTCCAGGTATAGATATCGATCCGAAATTAATTAGTATTGCCCGTAAAAACATAAAGCACTATGTTAAAACGGAAAATTCGCCTGCGAGGCTAGAGCGTACCTCGAACGGCTCTAAACTGACGTCGACAGATGTATTAAGTAGTAGTGAGTTTTTCCCTATATCTTTGCCTATATTATATGGACCAATTGACATTCCAGGATTCAATGAGACCCAAAAAGGCAGGGGCTTCCCGTACAACGTCACATTTAAGCAGGTAAAGACTCTATTCTTTTTTAACATAAATTTTTATCTGGATTTATGTTGAATATTTTATTGATTGTATATCTACATATGAAATGACTTATATAATTAGCTTTCATTACTTCAGAAAATATTTGCATAATTCTCCAGAAAAACGAAAATTCAACTATAGTATGTCCAACGGCTCAGGGAAGATTACGACGGACGACATCCAAAAAATGACAGAAATAATCTTTACCTATGAATTAAAATGACAGGCACAAATGTTACTGCCATGGATCCTCCCGTTGGACAGACTATAGGTACTATTTTTTTTGGTAAAGGTATTAAAAGTTTTTATTTTTATTTTGGGACACTAGAACTATTTATACAGGATGTTTCAAAAAACATGTGCCATATCTCGTGAGGAGATTCATCACGTAAAAATAAGATTTATTTTTCATATCAATATAGGTCCGATTCTGCTTTGTTTCGTAGCTACAGGGTGTTAGAGTCTTAATATTTTTTCGATTTATTCTAATTTTCTTCCAAATGCTTTTAGCGATTCCAATGAAATTTTGAGGGTTAAAGTTACTATATATAAATGCGACATATTTTAAAGTTAAGAAAGTGTCGACATATTCTCCAGGGACGTGTATATGGGTTATCTTTGGAATATTTTTCTAAAAAAAGCATGTACGCCACTGACTTTCTTTTATCTTTTAGGGAAGTATAAGCAGTTTAATGCTGATTAAAAGTTGTCTCTTGATATTTTGTCGATTTCGGCCTCCTTGATGAGATAAACGCAATTTTATTAATTTGCCTTGATCCAAGTCCTTGATCCTTTAAAAAATGTTAATATCATTAACTTGCAAAAGCTTTAAATAAGTACTCATTGAGTCCTCATCAAAAAATATGAAAAAAAGTTCTTATAAACATGGGTATGGAAATGCATAGTTTTATAGTTACAGGATGTTAAAAATTTGTCAAATTAGATTTTTTGTAATTATCTTGAATACCATTGATTTTTATTTGAAATTGCTATAGGTTGGACTAATATTAAGGATAACTAATAATAATAATATTTAATAATAAATTAGGTAAAATATATAATTTCTTAATTTTATTTTATTTTTATTTTATTAATTGTGATTAATAAAATTACCTTAATGTCATCAAGGAGGCCGAATTCGACAAAATATCAAGAGATTGATAAATATCGAGAAGAAAAAACAAAATATAAAAAGAACTTTTAATTGGGATTAAACGGCCTACACAATTGAAGTACAGGGGAAAAACGGGCTAAGTCAATTTTTAGCAAAATTGTGATATTGATGTCATCGGATAGAAAATATGTTAAATTTTGTTCTAAAGATAGCTTCTATGGCAAGAACGCGATAAGTCAGAAGGTATTAAACAAGAAGAATATCCCGTACAGGGGAATAACGTGACAAGTCCGTACGGTACCGAGCAAAAACGGGCTAAGTCGTGTTTTTACGCGCCTATTCGATAGCGTTCTGGTCGCCATTTTAATCGTTTTGCCAATTTGCACAGTTTGAAAAAGTTTTGTGGAAAGGAAGCTCAGTAGTATTTTACCTCACTGGTGCATAATTAATTAATTGAGAAAATTGGTGACTTCTCTCCTATAAAACAAATTTCAAGGTAAATTTTTTTTTACTTTCTTACACAAATCAAAACATTAATTTTCCATTTTAGATGATCGGATCAATGCCAGAATAACGAAGATTATTTTGTAGTTTTGTTCTGTTTCTCTATATTATTTATGTAGGCATAAATCTGATTATTGAGTGAAATAAAATACGTCAAAATACAAAAGTCTTATAAATTCAGGGAAAAAACGTCATAACCATTTACCAATAAATTTTTGATTTTTCAATTTTTTTTCTAAAAGCGAAAACTTTATTACTCAAAGATCCGAGATAGGGAACATAATATGGGTAAAAGAAAAAAATTTTAAATTGAAGTATTGTATTTTTTGCAGCGTTTTGAACTTTAAAATTGCCTAATCTCAAAATCGTAAAATTTGACTTAGTCCGTTTTCTCCCGTACCCTTCAATTTTGATATCAAAAGAAAAAGTCAGTGGCGCACATGTTTTTTTTTTTTTTGGAAAAATATTCCAGTGATAACCCATATGCACGTTCCTGATAAATTTCTTGACACTTTTTTAGCATTAAAATATGTAGCACTCATAGTAACTTTTAGCCTCAAAATTTTATTCAAATCACTAAAAGTACTTGGAAGAAAATTATAATAAATTGAAAGATGATTAAGACTTTAACACCCTGTAGCTACGAAACAAAGCAGAATCGTAACTATGTTGATATGAAAAATAAATCTTATTTTTACGTGAGGAATCATCTCCACGAGAGATGGCACATGTTTTTTGAAACACTCTGTATATGAAAAAGGTACCAATTATTTTTTAAATTCGCAATTTTAATTCTTTCTTAGTTTTTTTAATTGATATCGAAATTATTTTATTATTTCTAGTGTAACTACGTCCCAGAAGATGAAAATTTACTCGCATTGGAACAGCCCCAATTTGACGTTATCTTATGTCTAAGCATCACAAAATGGATTCACATGAACTGGGGCGACAACGGTCTCAAACTAACATTTAGGAGGATGTACGAACAGTTAAGGCCTGGCGGAAGATTGATTTTAGAGCCACAGCATTGGGCCAGTTATAAAAATAAGAAAAATCTTACGGTACGAAATCTTCATTGTTAATTTTTTCTTATATTTAAATATTTTGAATTTTTGTGTTTTTTAGGAAACCATCTACAGGAACTATCAAGCTATAGAGTTCTTCCCTGACAAGTTTACTGAATATCTTCTGTCGCCCGCTGTAGGTTTTGCAAAGAGTGAAATTCTTGGTTATCCCCAGCATAAAAGTTCTGGATTTAGGAGACCTATACAAGTAAGTATCTTCTTATTAACTCAGGGAAAACATGCTCTAAGATTTTTTAAATTTTATTTTAATACTAGGTAAAGAGTTTGTATGTAAGATTATATCTAAAAAAATTGGTCAAGTGCGAGTCGGACTCGCGCACGAAGGGTTCCGTACCATTCATTATCTATACAACATTAGACACTGTATTATTATAAACTTTTTTCCGATTTAGCTGAAATTTTGAATGCGCGTATAAGTAATTTAAAAAAAAATGAAGAAACACATTACTAAAAATTGTATTAATCAATAATAAATATGTAAAAAGTAAAAATAAATATGTAAACATATTTAAAAATTAAAAAAAAACGATTCAAAAAAAGTCGCCTTTACTAGGATTCAAACTTGCCTTACTACGGCTCCAACGTCATAGCAACGTAAAGTCCTAACCATAGATAAAAGAAAATAATCTTCTATTAAGATAGATATGAAACTTAACAGTAAAATTTTGGGTCAAAGCGCCCCTCCGTGTTCTTAGTAGAGACTACGTTTAACCCAGCGCCTTCGCCTTTTCTGCTGTAAATATTTTTTATGTTTATATTTGATTTCAAAGGATTTAGTTTTAAAGCTACACTGATATATGTATTAATATATGAGAGTAACTTTAATAAAACATAAGAATATACATATTTTAGTTTATTAAATATAAATTTTGACTACAAGGTAGAAAGTAAATCACAATATTTGATAAAACTTTTAAGTATACCATTTTTACAGTTAATAAATAATAAAACTATTTCTGACTATGATATTTAAAATTTAGATAGATAGATTATTAAAAAACATACCGGTATTTGCAGACGCAGACCCAAATTCAATAAAAACCAAAATTTTTCCTGCGAAAATCGGGCTTTTTTCACAGAAAAGGTATTTTTTGATTTATCAACAATCATTGTCAAGTTGACAATATACAGGGTGTTTTCTAATTAGTCTAAAAAATTGTGGTGTGATTCCTCATGTGTTCTTAAAACAATTTTTATATAACCATTGGGTCTAAAGTACTTCCTTTCTGATCTACAGGGTGTTAAAAATTTAAAAAAAAATCGATATTTTGTTTAAAATAAATGGTACACTACTGCCTTTTTAAAGAAAATATATTTTTTTCTTGACTGGTCATCCTTTTTCAACAAAATTGATCTTTTGAGTTTTTCTTGTTCATCAAACGGTTGCCGAGAAAAAAATAAATATACTTATTAAGAGCCTGCCTTAAGCCGTTTTCAAAGGATTTTTTATTTTTTAGATTAATTAGGAAACACCCTGTATATGCATATCACAGGCAACCAAATAAACTAGTAACCTCTAAAAATTATTTTTCCTACCACTAGCGACATACCGTGTTTTTAGTGAGTACTAAATTATTTTATCAAAATTTCATCATATAAGTTTCCAGGCAATGGTCCTAACGCCTTAAACCACGCGGCCACCGAGGACTTGAAAGATTCTATGTAAAATTCTTACTTAAAAGATAATGTTTAGTGAAAGTACTTTTTTATTTATAAACATTTATTTAATTCTGTTTTTAGTATTTGTTCTTATAGCGGCAACAGATACATTATCTGTAAACATTTCAACTGTCTAGCTATAACGGTTCATAAGATAGACCTTTTTGACAGACGGACGGACGGAAGGACAGCGAAGTCTTAGTAATAGGGTTCCCGTTTTTACCCTTCGGATACGGAACCCTAAAAACTAAAATATATATTCATAAAATAATTTTATTTAAAATAAGACATTTGATTAGAAAATAACCCTTTTTAGGTTTTTACAAAAAGCACGATGTTTCCAAGTGAAAGGATAGAAGCGACGCCTGGCAATCCTGTATATAGTGATTCTGCGTATCCAAAGACAATGCACACAGGTAAGAAATGCACATAGCCAGTTATTCGATTTTTTTGGAACACATCGTTCATATCCTTATCAGACATTTGGCAATAATCAATAATTAATAGATTTTTAACTGGTTAATATAGTCTTAATTGCAATTATATCAATTTTAAATATATTAATTGTACTTGTATTCACTTTAGTGTTTGTTATTGGTCTGGTATTAGAAATAATTACTAAATAAATGTATGGATATGTAACTTTTATCAGTTTATACATATATCTTCATTTATTTTAAACTGAAAGTAAATAAAATTTTCTATGAAACAAAAAAAAATAATAAACAAAACAAAAAAATCTATTAAACTTATTTTTGACAAAAAAAATTATATTTAACTTTTTGTCAATCTTTACATAAGTCTATTTTTATTTTGAACTTAAAATACATAATAAGTAAAATACTAATAACAAAAAGATATTCTACAAATAAACTTTTTTAACAAACAATTATCTGAAGAATAGCACTATATGTGAAGGTAAATCAAATTAAAACAAAAATTATAAAACAATTTTATAAAAAAAATGTCACAATATTGGGGGATATGGTGTTAGATTGAACACTTCCGACAAATGCAGCTCTGTAAAAAGGGTTGTTAAGTCTTAACATTCTCTTTAAGACATGTTTAAAGCATTAAAATAAAATCTTTGGTGTGTAGGTTTTTTTTTCAATAAAAAATATGAGAAAGGCACTTTCTTTTAACTATTTTATAAAAATCTCACACTGTAAACGTAAACTCGCACTGATCACACCTCAGTCTAATATTGTTCAGAAAAAAAAAACGATCAACTCATTGTAATAGAAAAAAAGTGCTTAACCCTGATAACAGTACTAATAAAAACATGGTACTTAAATACTTAAACAATTATTCTGTACTATAACTCGGATTAAGTTCTCAAAAAATTGAAATAAGTTTTGCCGCCTTATCTTCACCCAACCTACTTCTTAATTTTGAATGCCATTTACATTATGTTGTTTAAAACAAGTATTTTTTAAACATAATTACAACTTGGAGTGTTATAAAATGGCGTTTAAAACAATAAGAACTGTTTTAAACCATAAAAACACATTTTAAAAAAAATATAAATGACTTGTTATTTTTTCAACCCTGTTTGGAGGATAGGAGGTTAGATTGAACCTTAAAATAAAAAGATTAAGGAAGGAGTATAATGCTGTCCTTGTGTTCATGCACCGCAGACGCAGAGAGGGCCCAAGGGTGGGGATCCTTGACAGTTCTGCGATTCATTTGACACATCTGAATTTGATTTGAAATTTTGTGGATTTGCCAGTCTTTACTGAGCTTATTTTATGTTATTTATTATTTATTTTACTACTGATAGTTGTTTAAAGATAGTAAATCTAGAAGGAAATTGTGGCAGAACTTAAATTAACAGTGACACTATTGCGATTTATCGAAAAAGACTGTAAAATAGTTGGTTGTGTAGCGTGCGGTAGATCTCGGTCAAAAATCGAAGGAAAATGGAATAACTTTTCGCTAGTAAGTGATTATATAATATACATACGTGAAGTAAACCGATCATTTATGAGAAAAATTCACTTAAAATTAACTAATTATATATTTTTTCTTGCATTTTTGCCTTTATTTACTACTTGTCAAAGAATTTAGATACGTCAATCAACGTCAATTTGACTTACCTGCTTCAGTAGCGTATCGGATGTTTGTGTTAATAAATAATTATTATAACTTATCTATTTTTATTAGAATTATATATTTTTATAACAATTTTAATAACTATCAACATTTATGGACAACATAAAATAAAAACAAATTAATGAGTCTACCCCATGTCTACCCTACATCATATTTTTACACGTTTTGAATAAAATTAGAACGGCACTGACAAACCGGAATTTAAGTTGGCCCTTCTAGGGCCCCGTCGCGTTCGATCTAAGATTTTTGATATGCTCCTTCCTTTTTTTTATTCAGTTCTGCAATAGAACTTTTAAAGAGGTAGTTAACTTTTTTTCTTATGATTCTAGATGATTATTTTGAAATTACAGGTAAATACGAATCTCAACCTGCCGACTGCGTAGAACATGTTTACACCAAGTTACTACATCCGACTCCACGGTATTGCGAAAGCGCGGAAGACAATCTGGAAATCAACGAAAGCATCGCGAAAAGCTTGGAAAGCGAAGAAAAAATGAACCAGTCCAACGGCCACGAGGATGTCGACCATTTCTACAACCAAGAATCGAGTGATATCGACAATAACGAGAAAACCGTGATGGATTGTAGCGATAGACTCTCCAGTGAAGCTACTCCCGATAATACCAATGACAGTACGTCATTAGACAAAGATAAAAACAGTCAAGTGCGTAGTATTAGTGCGCAAAAGAACGTCTCGAGTAGTCCGACTTTGAAGGTGTTAAGGACGCCAGATCGGCAGAATTTAATCGTGGATAATACTTAAGTCGTATTTGTAAAGTTCGATAAAGTTAAGTATAATGTTATCTATTGTAATCGAGCCACCCGGATTTTGTATACATTTTGTAAATATTTATTGTTATGATTTTTTTCTGGAAAAAGATTAATTGTAATATATTCGCCTTTGTTCTTCGATATTAGAACGAAAAAAATAAAGTATTAACAGTCATTTTATATGTATAAATATTTTTATTTATAAACCTTTTAGAAATCGTTTCTGTGTTTTAATTCTCAACCTTTTGAAATATACTTTATTTCTTCCCATGTAGAATGTAGAATATTTAGGAGGGGGGTTAATCACCGCGACGTTACAGATCTATAGTCTATAAAATGAATAATTTTGAATTTTGACCGTTATTTTTTACCAACATTGCATATTTGCCATGTTGGTTTGTCATATTTGCCATGTTGCCTCTGTCAAAAATTTTACTGATTTCTTTAAATTGAGTGCCTGAGCGAATCAGATAGGTAACTCTTTTTACTTTCGTGAAATAAAAAAGGAAAATAATAAAACAAATGAAAGTTCTTCCTCTTGCAAAAATCAACACGAAATGTCATAATGGTCAAAAGTAAAATCTCATCAGCTTTTGACATTTCTAAATATCAGACAACAAAGAGAAATGCATGGCCGCAAGTTGCTAACCTAATAAAATTAACACTAGAAAAGCCCGCGGGAACTGTCAAATTCAAAGTAATGCGTTTCACAGACTATATTGTGTGTTCCCCTTTCTTGAGTTAGACTTCATCATACAGTCTCAGGGCTTTAACAAGAGCCAGTATCTGAGACAGCTTCACAGAGGCCAACTCTCCATCTTCGACATCAGCCGTACCAATACATTCTTCTCATTGTGGTGAAGCACTATACGTCAAAGAAAAAATTGGTATTTTTAAGCAAAAAATAAGATATTAGTAGTGTAAACAGAGCTTGACTTTATTAAAATTAAGATTTTTTCTGAACTTAATAAGATCAAAATAAAACACTAATTCACCACAATACACCAAAACACTTTACTTTTGCATTGGACACGCATCTCGCTGACCATGTTAGCATCATCAGCAGATGATTAAAACTAAACTAATATCTACAGATTGAGCGTTTATACAGGGTGTTTCAAAAAAACCTGTGCCATCTCTCCGTGGGGGGATTTCTCACGTAAAAATAAGATTTATTTTTCTTAACACATGTTGTTGATAAAGAACATTGTATAGTACCATGTGTAGTACATGACAACATGTGTGGTACCAAATTATTCGTAAAAAATGCTTTCTTCAAATATGCTAATAAGCTACCCTCGTATTCCATTTGAAAAAATTGAGATATGATTAAAAATATAATAAAAAATACGATTTGGGCATCTTTTAACTGGCCAGAACCAGACACGAAAAACATTAGACGATCAAATCTATTTTTCCAAGGGTCCTTGATTAAATATTACTGTTTTTAACACAACCAACACAGCACTCTAGATTGAAATTTAAAATAAGATTTTTTAAGCGAGTATGTCAAAAGTTGACATATGATATGTCATTCTATTCAGAATGTCATTTTCTACCAAACAAAGTAAAAAAATACTGAGGGTGTCATTTAAAAATCAAAAGTTGTAGTCATTTCCGGTGAAACAGGAACTAACCGAAAACAATTGAATACGTCAATCAATCCTAATTTATATCATACTAGCGTGTACCAGCGACTTCGTTCGCGTCGAATTAATCATTTGTAATGGTGATGATAAAGCAAAGCAAGAATTTCCATTAATATACAAACTGGATAAAATTTTCTCACATTTATGTCAGCATGAGAAAAAACAATATGGCGATATTATTATATAACTTGGTAATATTTGAGGGGTAGTTTCATCTCGTTGGAATTTGACTTTCGAAAAATCCATTTGCCAAAAATAAGCTTTTTACGTCAAGCAGTTTAAGCAGAATCGTGGTTAATCAATTACACAACATTTTGGAACACCCTGTAATGATTTTTTAAAAAATTTCAAAATATGTAAAAAAAACAAATAAATTATACTTGTCCATGCATTTTCCCGGAAGACTAAGTCACGACAACCGTTTTTTAAATAACAAATATTGTAATATTTGAGGGGCGTTTTCACCCTCTTGGAATTTGAGATTCGAGAAACCCCTCCTTATCGAACCTCTACACCCCACAGTCAATCCGTTTGCCAAAAATTAGCTTTAAACGTCAAGCAGTTTAAGCAGAATCGTGATTACTCAATGGTCATATTTTATGAAACACCCTGTATAAATTTATAAAAAATCTTAAAATTTGTAAAACAACAAAATAAAATATACATGTTTAAGAGTTTTTTCCGAAAAACTCACCGGTTTTTAAATAAAAAATATTTTAATATTTGAGGGATAGTTTCATCCCCTTAGAATTCGAGTTTCGAAAAATCCCTTCTTATCGGACCTCTACACCCTAAAGTCAATCTGTTTTCCAAAAATCAGCTTTTTACATCAAGCGCTCTAAGCAGGATCGTGATTAATCAATGACCAGATTTTTTGAAACACCCTGTATACATTTTTAAAAAATCTTAAAACATGTAATAAAACAAAATAAAAATATACGTGTTTAAGCGTTTTTTTCGGAAACTTGACCGTTTTTTAAATAAAAAATATTGTAATATTTGAGGGGTGATTTCACCCCCTTGGAACTGGAATTTCAAAAAATCCCTTCTTATCGAACCTCTACACCCTAGAATCAACCTGTATGCCAAAATTGAGCTTTTTACGTTGAGTGGTTTGAGCAGGATCGTGATTAATCAGTATGTCAGTCACTTAAGGATTTTATGTATTAGTATAGATATTAACATACCAAATCTCGTTTTTTTATCTGAATAAATAAACAAGTTATAGGGGGTGAGTCACTTTTGAGACGCACCCGGTATAGCTACGCATTTGAATATATGCTAAAAAAGTAGCTGGCCAGTGGCAAGTGTGTCTGCTGTTGTTGGCATTTTTATGTTATAATCTTAATTTTTAGAAATAAAACAACTCTCGATTAAAAGGTCAAAACATTTATTTAACATTTTTTTTAGAAAATAGGATTAATAAAATGAAACAATATTTCTTATGTGGAAGCAGAGTATTTGTTGGTATCTTTATACATACATTCGTCGTTATAAAAAAAATACTTGATTATTAAAATAGTGTGGACTGTTCAAACTATTTTATGCATGCGAAACAAATGTTGACCAATATAAAATTCATCTCTCCATAACATGTAAACAAATTTAAATATGATAATTAGTAATCTATAAAAATACAAAGCATTTTCTAGAGCATTATTAGTATGATTCTTGTTGGTGTTTTTCAAGCGATGTTTATATCTAATGGCAGTTTTAGTGTACTTATACACTATCCAAAGTGTTTTAGTTTTTAAATTGGATTAAGATTAGTTCACTGTACAAATTTGCTTACTAGGGGGATATGTAAAAGTTTTTTTTAAATTACTTAATCAATTACAATTCTTGTTCTAATTATTATCCAAAATTTTAAGGGCATTGCATGAAAGATTTAAAAATAAAACAGTTGTTACTGTATATAAATATAATTAGTTGGAAATTTATTTGAATAAAATGGCAATAATTGATTCAAGATTAATGTTACAATTAATTGTATTTATTTGGTTTGATGTCTCATGCAATGTTTTTCTTTTATTTTAGATATTGTAACAAGTTTGATATGTTATTTTTAAGTGTTAAGAATACATTAAATTTGAAATAAAGTGATTAACTATAATTTAAAATTCTATTTACAATTTTTTATTTATTTTTCTGTTTCTAATTTTGTCTTATTTTTGAGGTATTTTAAACATGCATTATTATAAACTCAACGATATTTTATCAAAGTATCGTAATATTTAATATCATGGTAAATAATAGATATACCGGGTGCGTCTAAAAGTGGCTCACCCCTATAACTTTTATTTTTTCAGATAAAAAACGAGATTTGGTATGTTAGTATAAGACATAAATTAGGATTGATTGACGTATTCAATTGTTTTCGGTCACTTCCTGTTTCACCGGAAATGACTACAACTTTTGGTTTTTAAATGGCACCCTCAGTATTTTTTTACTTTATTCGATAGAAAATAACACTCTGAATAGAATGACATGGCATACGTCAACTTTTGACATTTTCGCATATGGTTTATTTGAAATTATTACTTGCGGTTCGTAACGAAAATTTGACTCGAAATACCAAGTGTGTGGTATCAAATTATTCGTAAAAAAATGCTTTTTCCAAATATGCTAATGAGCCACCCTCGTTACATTTGAAAAAATTGAGATATGGGTAAAAATACGATTTGGGCATTTTTTAACTGGCCAGGAAAAGACACTAAGGATATTAGACGATCAAATATATTTTTCCAAGGCTCCTTGATTAAGAATTAGTGTTTTTAATATAGCCATGGCACCAGATTTAAATTTAAAATACAATTTTTTATTAAGGGAGAATGTCAAAAGTTGAGATATGATACGTCATTCTATTCAGAACATCATTTTCTATCGAATAAAGTAAAAATATACCGGGGGTGACATCTAATAATCAAAAGTTGTAGTCATTTCCGGTGAAACAGGAAGTGACCAAAAACAATTGAATGCGTCAATCAATCCCAATTTATGTCATATACTAACATACCAAATCTCGTTTTTTTATCTGAAAAAATAAAAAAGTTATAGGGGGTGAGCCACTTTTGAGACGCACCCGGTATATATTCGAATTTTCAGATATTGCTACGCATGTCTTCTGTACTAGAAGTAAACTCAATATGATGTATAAATTACATTATTTTAAATATTAGTTTTAAATGTTCTTTTAACACATGTATATAATTATGATTGTATATTGAAATGAAAAGTTTATACAGTCTGTCCAATGAGAGAATATATGAATTCAAGAAATGACATCCATAAAATGACAGAAAATACAACCTACTTTTAAATTAGAAAGAAAATTTCATGTCCTTGTCATATATTCTTATAATCGAATTACTATATGGACAGATGGTTTATACTATACAATTTGATTGTGCGCTTTTTAACAATTTTTTTTAAATTTTGGCAATACAATTTGCGCACCATATTTATTGTATAATTTAACAATAAAATATATCAGTGAATATATACAGGGTGGTCCGAACTGTATTCCGGAAACTTCGGCAGCATATTCTGCAGATAAAAATAAGTAAAGAAGTTCGTATAAATGTATGTCCTAAAATGCTTAGTTTCAGAGATACAGGGTGTGGAAATTTCATTTTTATTTCGATTTTTTCTAAATAATTTCGGAAGTAACGTCAATATTTGGATGAAAATTGGTGCCTGGGAGTTTTTTGACATGAGAAATTTGATTTTGATGTCAATATCACTCCTACCAGTAGAGGGCGCCACCTACATATGTTTTAACTGTTTTGAAGCGTAATAACTTTTTGGCCGTACCTGATTAAAACTACTGATCGAAAAAATATACATCTCTGTGACTTTTTTTGTAAAAAATATCTCTTTGTAAAAATCGCTACGAGCAACCGTTCTTAAGATATTTGGAATGGAAATAGTCAATACATGTCATTATTGACGAAAAATAAACACGTTGAGTAGAATAAATTTAGGAAATTTTTATTTTTTTAAATTAATCATAAATTCTTCTGCAAAAAATGATGATAAAACAGTTTCTGTTGAACTTTTGACACAAAAACATTTCAAATTTATAATTTCAGTCTAATAACTATTTAGTCAACATAATTTATGTCAATGATGACAGGTATTGATAATTTCGATTCCAAATATCTCGAAAACCATTACTCGTAGCGATTTTTACCAAGAGACCTTTTTCCCGTAGAAAATATCGTAAATGTATATTTTTTACTCAGAAGTTTTATACAGGTATGGACGAAAAAGTTATTACTCTTCAAAGCAGTTAAAAAAACATGTAGGTGGCGCCCTCTACTAGTAGGAGTCATATTGACATCAAAATCAAATTTCACAAGTCAAAAACTCCCAGCCACCAATTTTCATCATCCTAACCAAACCAAACGTCAATATTTGGATGAAATTTGGATTCAGAAATTATTTGGAAAAAATCGAAATAAAAATGAAACTTCTACACCCTGTATCTCTGAAACTAAGCATTTTAGGACATACATTTATACAAACTTTTTTACTTATTGTTATCTGCAGAATATGCTGCCGAAGTTTCCGAAATACAGTTCGGACCACCCTGTATATTAGGCATTCTGACATTAGTCTAACAATTGTTTTGTGTAAGATTTTTTCTTCCAACTTTGTAGTCAGTAATGTTTCTTCGAGTTTTTTGATAAAAAAAAACGGCGTCCAGTTAACGTGGAAATGACGATCGATGGCATTTCTTATACAATTTTATATATAAACGACACAGATCTTCATTTCTAAGCCATCTCTGACGTCGTTTTTGGATTGTATGGTATTTTCCTATAAAAATCCTCAGAATTCGTCTGTATTTGTTAAAATTAAGTAATTACATGTGAACAAAATCATTTTAGGAACTCTCAATGTATGTTAACTAATCATACCGTATGATCGAAAAGTTTCATAGTTAAGAGTGTCTTATAACCTACAATAGAGTTTATTTGTTTTGCCTGTCCATTGAATGATGAGAAACTAAATTAGAATTTAAGAGTAATATATTATAATTTGTGTGAATTATGTTAACAATATAAACAAATTTTTTTTCTCAAACTAAATTATAAATATTAATATATACTAATTTTAAAAAAGTATTTTTATAAACAAAATATTTCGTATGAAACATGACTTTGTGAACCTTCGGCACTTCAATCTATTATAAGTATAACATTTCTTGTTCATATGATATTTATAAATCTATAGCACTGATAAAAATCTTCCCTAGATGGCAAACCTCAATTTTCGAGAATCCTTACGTCGCTAGAAGTGCAAATTCAAAACTTCAAAGGTTGTACTGTCTACGTCGGAATCGTAGTATTCCCTTTCTTCTTCGTAGTCGTTCTGATATACTCTCTCGCCTCTCCAACCCCTCACTCGCTGAGGGGTATTTCTTATAACCGGTAGGTAAACTGATGAGGGCTTATGCTACAAAGAACAATATTTAAAGCGTCTTTAGTCTGAAGAGAAATAAGTTGTTACTGCTATTTTTTTTTTGCTTTTTTATAGGCTTGGAGCATATCAACCGATTTTGAAATACCAACAGCAGCGCTCGGTACGGCAGAAATCAGAACTGTCCGACTAACTTTATTTCACGCCGTATCGGTTACCATTCATGCTGATCGCATTGAAATAATATTGAACTAAGTGATAATATTTAAGTATTTTGGTTGTTACTAGTGGTAGTATTGAGTTATTAGCTTGAATAATAAACTGTAATACAAGTTGGATATTCTGAAGATATCAAAAGATTTACCTTTTTAATTTTTTAGAATTTTCACAAATTGCGCTGACTAATACCGTTGATTGAAGAAATAAGAAGATGCGCAACCTTATGGGCGATTTCGTGGCAGAAAACCTGTGCGAGATGTAGCTGGCGTTACCGTCAACCTGTCCGAGAATTCCGAGAATTAGTTTAGCTCTGCGCCGCTGCGCGCTGATACCTGATCGTTTACAGCGCTGCGGATAAAGAATACTGTACCGTAGTTCTGCTTTTAGTCGACAGAGTGAGTGGTTGCCGGAGACAGCGTTGCCAGAACTACTGATTATTTCGTAGATTTACTGATTTTGGGCACAGTACGGTAATAATACAGAATTTCTATTTATTATATTTATATAATGTGTGGCAACGTCGCAGGGCAAGTGTTAATATGAATTAAAATTTTATCCGTTAAATATATTCAAAAAGTGGAGTTATTTATGAAATAAATTAGAAAATTCAAATTACAAGTTATAAAGTATATTAAGATAGAACGGGTGAGTGAAAATCAGTTGATTCAGACTTCACGAAAAGTAGTTTTTGAATATCTCTAAAATACTATCACATAGAAGAATTTAAAGAATTTGCAATATTTAGCAAGCAATCTTACTAGTCGTCCCAACGGTGTTGTCAAGTGTCTCAAAATTTACTGCTGTTTATAAAATGACCCAAGAAATTAAATTAGGGGATTTATACACGCTCTTGAATAATATTAACGAAAATGTTTGCAATAAGATTGATAACATCAAGACAGACCTAGATAATCTCAGTTCTAAAGTTGATAAGCAGCTTTTTTCTCTTCAAAGTAAAATTGAAGTATTAGAAACAGAAAATAAGAAATTAAAACATCAAGTATATCTCACACAAAAACTTTTAAAGAAAAACAATTTGATAATATATGGAATACCAGAGAGAAATAGTGAACATCTTGTGGAATCCATAATAGATCTTGTAAAAGAAAAACTCGATATAAATTTGAAGATAGAAGATTTATCGGAGCTTTTCAGACTGGAAAAAATATAACCAAAGATCGACCTATCCTTATAAGCTTAGTGTCTTGTTTAAAAAAGACGGAACTCCTTAAAAATAATGGAAAACTCAGAGGAACAAATATATTTATAGACGAAGATTTATTAGCGGAAGACAGAGTGAACAAAAAGGTTTTAGTCGAAAAATTGAAAGAAGCAAAAGCTCAAAACATAAACGCTAAGCTAAAAGGAAATAAATTAGTAATTGATGGTATTAGTTATACTAGTGGCGATTTTAAAGAAAAGTATTATCAAGAAGCATCCGGATCCAGAACGTTGTCATTTCTCCAAGAAATGAATACAATTATCCACAATCGCAGACAGGTCGAAAAACTGCAAACTCAAAAAACTGGAAAATTACTAAATCATAATAATATTGGAAATATTATGTATGATCTACCAAGAGAAGATATACCGGGTTCTGAAAGAAAACGCAAGGTGCAAGACATATCTAATATATTTACTGAAAGGGATGTGAAACGAGCACCTCCGTATCGGACGCGAGCGAATTACAACAAATCTTCATAAATTATTTTTTTGTGAAACCGTTGTAAAAAGATTAGGATATTATTTTTAACTATAGATTAAGATTAATATGTTTATATTATTTATATTTTTTTTGTTGATAATTATTCTGTGAATTATTTTTTTTAAGCATTATAGAAAAATGTTAAGAAAGATAGCAGTAGCAAGTTATAGAAAAATAAGAAAAAATAAGTAGTGGTCAGACTTATATTATAGAAACGATTAACATATTGTATTTTAGTTATATTTTTAGGGTGTGAATGAATGTAATGTGAATTTGTATTTGTTGAACGATGCATAGAAAATCTCGCACAAAAAACTATTTAGTTTTTTGTGCGTCACAGTTGGCTTATAAATGAAGATCGCGGTTATTTCTTATGTAAAATATTATGGTAAATGTCAATAATCGTTATTTCCAAGCCAACTAAACGACATTTAAATTTTCAATACATAAACGCGGACTTTTTATCCAAATATATTTTTGTCAAAGGTATTACAGATATTACACATTTTAATATGGCAACACTGTCGCTTTCAGATCCACATCGTCTTCGATATGCCTTCGTTGGCCGAATTAGAGAAAATAAGTGTTTCATGCGTTGGCTGCAGAACGATTGGTGTCTCCACCGTACAGCACTTGAGATGTAAGAGGAAATCAAATTAGCCTTGTCACGAATTCGTTCATTAGGTTGCGTATCTTCCCAATTTTTTCAATCAACGCTAATACTTTTCAAATAATATTACAATAAATGTTTAATGTACTAGCTATTTAAGCTCGCGTATTTGTAAGAATTTGTAAGAAAACGCGAACTTAAAAAATGTTCTAAGAGAAACAACCTTTGCTTAAACAAAAACACTTCGTATTATTCTCGATTTTTTTCTGTGCTTATTTGTTTACACCCTGTATAATTACCTATTCTTCCGTTAACTGCCATAACATCAAGGCGGCATCAGTGCCGCCAACTGTCACAATATTTCTGTCATTGAACAGGAACCTGGCACAAGCTACTGTTCCACTGTATACTTTTTCTTCGTTGTACTCAGCTTTGGGAGTTAAACAAGGATATCTAAAATGTTAAACATTGCATCATATCACATGAAAAAGATCGGAACCTATACTATATGATTAGATAATCAACATAATTAATTTTTAAACATAATTTATAATTGAATTTACTATGTCAGAAGGTTTAAAATATTGTGTTATGTATACCTAAACAGTCTCAAGTATCCATCAGTATCTCCAGTGATGAGCAGGTCATGTGCTGCTGATCTGCTTGCTGTACTGATAATGGAAGTCATTGGATAGTATCGATTATTCCATACACCTAAACGAATATTGGTATTTTGTTAGAATATTTTTTTATGGAAATTATAAACATTTTAATTTTCATAAATAGTTTAACATATATTTATTAAATATATAATCTGCCCATCGAGTTGATACACGACGTTGACAAGACTTGCAAGAGTCTTGCGCAATGACCAAGACCAAGACTACTTATTACTTTAGAGGACCCTGTAAGAACAAGACCAAGACCAAGAAAGTCTTGGTCATGATCCTGCATTTGTTCATCAGTACTTCTTATACTTGGTGGAGGAATTTGATACTAAATACTCAAAACAATTATCGCATATTTTGTAAAAAAATATTAATTTGAAAAACAAGACACTTTGAATTCTCTGACTTACGATTTTAAATAGTATAGATACTGTGAAGGAAAATTCGATACAATAAGCCTACGCGCTGCAATTTTTAGTCGGCCGACTATTTATATAGTTGCAAAAGTGAAAACAATACATACTTATGAAGTCGATCGGCCGACTACTTGATTGCATGTGAGCGCGGCTCCATAAGGATTTATTGTTTACAAACATGCAACTAAATAGTCGGCCGATTAAAAATTGTCTGTCAGCGCATAGCCTAAGGCAATGTAATCAAATATTGGGCCAAATGGCTCCATAAGAATGTATTGTTTTCACTTTTGCAGCAAAATAGTCGGCCGATTAAAAATGACATGTCAGTGCGTACCCTAATTATCCTAAAAAAAACTCACAAGAGAAAGGCAGAAAAATGCATGCTTAATTTAGAAATATGCTTTGAATAAGAAGACTAAGGAAGGAGCATATCAAAAATCTTAGGTACACCGCGATGGGCCTCAAATATGGCCGACTTAAATTCCGGTTTATCAGTGTCGTTCTAATTTTATTTAAAAAATGTAAAACTATGATGTAGGGTAGACGTGGGGTAGACTCAATAATTTGTTGTTTTATTTTACGTTGTGAATAAATGTTGGTAGTTATTAAAATTGTTATAAAAATATATAATTCTAATAAAAATAGATAAGTTTTAATAATTATTTATTAACACAAACATCCGATACGCTACTGAAGCAGGTAAGTCAAATTGACGTATCTAAATTCTTTGACATCTAATCTTTGACAAGTAGTAAATAAAAGCAAAAATGCAAGAAAAAATATATAATTAGTTAATTTAAGTGAATTTCATAAATGATCGGTTTACTACACGTATGTATGTTATATAGTCACTTACTAGCGAAAAGTTGTTCCATTATTTCACTCAATTTTTGCCGAGATCTACCGCACGCTACACAACCAACTATTTTAGAGTCTTTTTCGATAAATCGCGATAGTGTCACTGTTAATTTAAGTTCTGCCACAATTTCCATCTAGATTTACTACCTTTATACAACTATCAGTAGCAGAACAAATAATAAATAACATAAAATAAGCTTCGTAAAGACTGACAAATCCACAAAATGTCAAATCAAATTCAAATGTGTCAAATGAATCGTCAAACAGAACTGTCAAGGATCCCCACCCTAGAGTGCTTTTATGGTACTTTTTCCGCCCACCATGCATGAATACATGGATAGCATTATGCTCCTTCCTTAGTATTCTTATTCAAAGGAAATATGTAATAATTACTTTTCTTCACATTCTTTAACATGCGATAATTGTTTTGAGTAGTGTATTAATATTTATTTAATAACGTGATATCTCTCCGATATTTCATAGATATCACATTTTGTGGCACAATGAAGTCTTTACCTGCTACCATAAATCCTACTGTAGAATTATGGGTGTACCATTTTACATCCTTCATGGCAATGGGACTTTTTTCGGGTGATAATGATTTTACGTCCCCTGGAAACACAACAATGATATATTATATTTATATTTTCCATTCTTAAAAATAGAAAATGTCCTAAACTAGAGGATGATAGTTGAGCTATCGGAAACTTTAAGAGGTAAAAAAGTTAAGTAATTACAATTTAAATAATTACAATGACCACTATCGAATTTGGAACATCTTGTACTAGTTACTTATTACTTCAGTTCAATTACTTGATTTCAACTTACAGAATGAAAGATCGTAATCGGCTGTTACAGTCTGTAGGTAATTGCTGTCTGAACTCCAGTCCATTTGCATTAGAGGTTGGGAACCTCGTATTTTGTTAGATTTCTTATAAGAGAAACCATCTCTGCTAACTCTGAACAGGTAGATGCTGCCATTTTGGGATGCTATTGCTATTAAATCTCCACCTGTAGAAGTAAAAAATAAATCGACACCTTTCAGCCCTATAAAGCAGCAGGAGTGGATGGGATCTTTCCTGCCCTTCTAAAGGAAGGTCAGCAAATAGCTACTCACCATCTACTAAGCATTACAAGAAGCAGTCTAGCGATGGGATATATACCAACCACATGGAGAAGAGCAAAAGTAATCTTCATACCCAAAATAGGCAAAACTGACTGGACAAATCCCAAGTCATTAGGCCTATTTGTCTCACATCGTTCATACTAAAAACGCTGGAGAAAGTAGTTGACAACCATATTGGAGAAAATCATCTAAAGGTTAAACCACTGCATGATAGTCAGCATGCATATAGAACGGGCAGATCCACAGAAACTGCTCTGTACCAATTAACGGAGCTAATACAGACAAGTCTGGATAGCAAAGAAACAGCAATTTGTGCCTTCTTGGATATTGCGGGGGCGTTTGACAATATACCACATAAGGTGGTCAGGCGATCTCTAGAAACAAGAGGGGTGAACAGAACTATTATTCGCTGGTTTTGGGAAATGCTGTCAACACGAACAGCAGAGGCTCAGATGGGCACCAAAACTGTAGCTGTTAAAACAACGCAAGGAACTCCACAAGGTGGAGTAACCTCCCCTTTGCTGTGGAGCTTGGTGGTGGATGAACTACTAGATGAATTAACTCTAGCGGGAATACACTGCATTGGGTATGCAGATGACATAGTCATGATCGCTCGGGGGAAACATGAAGGCACCTTGTGTGATATTATCCAAAGAGGACTCCGTATCACTGAGAGATGGTGTAGGACTGTCGGGCTGAGTATCAACTCAGACAAAACCGCGATAGTGCCATTCACCAGAAGGCGAAGTCTGAAAAACTTGAAAAGAATCCAACTAGATGGAAAGGAAATACTGCCAACACAGGAAGTTAAATACCTGGGAATAACCCTGGACAGTAAACTCCTGTGGAACAGGCATATTAAGAACACTACCAGCAAAGCCATAAAGGCTCTCATGATATGCAGAAGACTGGCCGGAAATAGATGGGGCTGCTCCCCTAACATTTTGCGCTGGATGTATACCATGATAGTAAGACCCATGATTACTTATGGAGCAGTTGCCTGGTACACAAAACTAGAGCAACGGACGGCAAGGCTAAACCTATGCAAAGTCCAGAGACTAGCATGTGTTTGCATCACAGGAGCCATGAGAACCTGTCCAACAGCAGCAATGGAGGTCGTTCTAGATCTAACACCACTGCACATTGTCATTGGTAGATATGCCAATGCGACAATGATTAGAATGGTCACTAACGGAATTAGTACTGGGAGAATTGTCAGATCAGGGGCTTGGAACACCCTCAAAAAGGAAATACCATCCTGCAACTCCCAGTGGACGATATGCCAAGAACGTACAACTTTGAGAAACATCTCAATGTAGTATTGAGCAATAAAAAGGATTGGAAGAGCGAAACGCTTGCCCAGCAGTTAAAAAACCATACCATAACTTGGTATACTGATGCTTCCAAAACCAATACGGGAATAGGGATCGGAGTGTTTGGGCCGAAAGCTAAATACTCCGAACCAATGGGCACTTACCCTAGTATCCTACAGGCAGAAATCTACGCTATCGAAAGATGCGTACAACTTATCTTCGATAGGAACTATCGGAAACAAGAAATAGCCATCTTGTCTGATAGTCAAGCAGCGTTAAAAACGATCAACTCAGTATCAATCAATTCGAAATTGGTCAAAGAATGCATAGAGAAGCTGAATAAATTGGGCAAAGAAAACAAAGTCCTCCTACTCTGGGTGCCTGCTCACCAAGGGATAGAAGGCAATGAAAATCCAAATAATCTAGCTAGGAAAGGAGCGAACACTCCACTAACTGGACCAGAACCGTTCTGCTTTTCAAGTGGTAACCAACTCAAGGCGGAACTCAAGAACTTGGAAGATTCCATCCGCAACCTGGAATGGAAATCTTGCAACGGTCTAAGACACTCGAAGAAGTTTCTGAGGGCTTATGATCAAGAAAAATCACAGATCTTCCTGGGTTTAAGTAAGAACAATCTTCGGATTGTCACGGGGTTTTTAACAGGACACTGTCTCCTCAATGAACACCTCAGTAGATTGAAACTAAGAAGAAACGGCGAATGCAGATTCTGTGGGGAAGATGGGGAAACACCAGTACACCTCATCACTGAGTGCGCCGAGACGACAACCATTCGTGCCATGAATTTTGGTACGACTGATATTGGAGATGGAGAACTACCCTCTATAAAACCGTCCCAGATACTGGCTTTTGTCAAAGCCCTGGGACTGTATGATGAGTTATGACTCAAGAAAGGGGGACACAATGGATCTGTAAGGTCGCAGTGATTAACCCCCCTCCCACTCATTCTAAAATTCTAAAAAAAAAAATAAAAACATATTTTAAACAAATCTAAAGAAGGAAAGTTTCCTAGCATAGCGAAATGTGCATACATTCTTTAAAATAAGTGTTTTGGTGTATTATGGATGATTTGTGTAATTTTTTATCAAAGAAGCTTAAAAAAATCTTACTCGGATTGAATCCAACGCAGCTCAGAGGAGATCCACACACACGTATAGTGTTGACGATTTGTCCATTTTCTGAGTTTAAGATCAGAAGATGTCCTTCGGTACTACCGGTGGCTAGTGCTACTCCAAACGGATGGAAACTTAGAGATATACATTCGAATGATACCTGCGAAAATAAGATAGCATTTAGATATGACAGTTATATAAATATTTATTAAAAACAAAATAACATGAATATTGCTATACCTGTGTTGTCCAGATAAGCTTGTTCTTTCTCCATAACGCTATATTTTTGTCATGTCCAGCAGTAGCGAATATTTCATCATCAGGATGTACTGCCAGTCCCCAAAGTTGTCTACCGTGTCCAAAAACGACCTAAAATAAAATACAGACATTAATTTACTTATTTCTTGTAACCACCGGAGTGCTTTAATAATACTTCCATACTTGTAACGTACTCGATTTTAGTAGATTTAGCCATAGATTGTCAACCTCATTTTTGAGAAATCCTATTTTTGTGACTCAGAAATTAATCGAAAAGAATGATTTCTTAGTAATTAATTAGCATTTATTTTTTAAGGATTATAATAAATAATCTAAATTTTAATTGAGAACCTTTGGCTTAGATCAATTTCAAATCCGAATCCAAGGAAACTGAAATTTAAATAAACGTACTTTTTATTCCCTCAATTGGGCATACTTTATTTAAATTTGCATAATTATACCATTAATCTGATTTTTGGACATAGATATACCGGGTGCGTCTCAAAAGTGGCTCACCCCCTATAACTTTTTTATTTTTTCAGATAAAAAAACGAGACTTGGTATACCGTAGTATATGACCTAAATTAGGATTGATTGACGTATTCAACTGTTTTTGGTCACTTCCTGTTTCACCGGAAATTACTACTACTTTTGATTTTTAAATGGCACCATCGGTATTTTTTTACTTTATTCGATAGAAAATTACATTCTGAATAGAATGACATATCATATGTCAACTTTTGACATACTCGCTTAATAAAAAATTGTATTTTAAATTTCAATCTAGAGTGCCATGGCTAAGTTAATAACATTAATTTTTAATCAAGGGGCCTCGGAAAAATAGATTTGATCGTCTAATGTTTTTAGTTGTCCTGGCCGGTTAAAAGATGCCCAAATCGTATTTTTAATCATGTCTCAATTTATTCAAATGGAACAAGGGTGGCTTATTAGCATATTTGCATTTTTTTACCAATAATTTGATACCACACACTTGGTATTGCGGGTCAAATTTTCGTTATGAACCGCATGTTATAATTTAAAATAAACCCTATGCGAAAATGTCAAAAGTTGACATATGATATGCCATTCTATTCAGAGTGACATTTTCTATCCAATAAAGTAAAAATGTCAATATTCCATGGGTATAGTGACAAATGAGGTCTAAATTATAAGAAAATGCATTTTCTATGAAAACTTGAAGAGGTAGTTAAAAAATCGTATAATAAAATTTCAAAGACAATTAAATTGTGCATCTGATTTTCGTAAAATATACAGGGTGTTCAATTTAAATTAAACAAGTTATTGCCGTTTAAAGCTAGTAATTATTTAATATAAATTTTTGGACACTCTCTATAAGGTAGTATAATTTTTATTGTTGCAACACAATATCTGATCAATAAATAATCTTCAGTAAATATTTAGTACTAAAAACTTCGATACCCTTGTAGAAATGAAGCGTTAATTTTTTACTGCAATTTCACAAAATTGAAAATATTTCAAAAACGGTAATGTTTAAGTGTGATAAACCTTAATCAAATTAATCTTTATTTCAATCATAGAATCTAATCGTTTAGCTACAATACTCCGTGTCGTATGTGGTGAACAACCCTGTATATTGAAAAATGTTGCATAGCATAAATTAAATCTTTTCAAAATCTCTTTAATTTTTGTTACAGTATTATATGCAAAATGCCTTTAAAATTTGATATAAGAACAAAAAACCAAATGAGTGAAAACCCTTGACAATATGCTTGTGAATTTATGTGTTTGATAAGAAACTTTATGTATTTTTGAGTTTGAAATCGATCGTTGCTTGTAAACATAAAGTTCCTGAGTGTTTTGACTGTAGTATGTAAGTACTATGAGTAATATTGGTACATTATCTCCTGTTTTTGCTCATGTCATCCAATTAAAGCGTGGTGTTTGAATAGTGACGTAACAAGGGATGGGAGCAAGTGAAACATGCGGCTTGCTTTTATCTTGATGCGATCCCCTATCAATACAGGAAAGCATTACACTCAATATAACGTAGATTAACAAAGAATACCCACTTGTAAAGAAAAAAGTTCTATACAAAGAAGAGAGTTTTAAATGTATTTTACAGATTCAATGAAGTAATGACATGTCTTGAATAATTTAAAAATAAAACCAAGCACAAAAAATAGAGCTAGAATGACTACGTTATATTGAGTGGAAAGAAGAGAACGATCAATGTTTCGCATTCAAAAATGAGTTGATACTTTTATTTTTATCTCTAACCTGTCTGAAATGAGGGTTGTCGTAGCCCTTAAGGCGCGATTTGAATTTACTACGTTCACGTGCTAACCCACCCCTTAAAACTTCTTGGTTGACGAAAGTAGTCTGTGGCTGACATGAAATAAAATATTGGTAAATATTGACTGTATTGTGTGGTAATTTAATTATAATTTTCTTAAAAAATTTAATTATAATTTTCTTAAAAAATTTAATTAAAATTTTCTTCTTCTTTTCTTTCTTTAAAATTATTTTCTTAGTTCTGTAGTAGACCGTCATAGGTTTATTAGCCAATTGAGTATCATATCCATCAGAATTATGAATTATCTCAGTCTAAAGTCAAGTTGTCATGATAAGTATAGTCTGTTCAACGAGAAAGAATATACAGGGTGTCTTAAAAAACATGTGCCATGTCTCGTGGAGAGATTCCTCACGTAAAAATAAGATTTATTTTTCATATCAACATAGGTCTGATTCTGCTTTGTTTCTACTACAGGGTGTTAAAGTCTTAATATTTTTTCGATTTATTATAATTTTCTTCCATGTACTTTTAGCGTTAGAATGAAATTTTGAGGGTAAAAGTTACTAGAAATGCAACATATTTTAAAGTTAAAAAACTGTCGACAGGTTCACCAGGGACTGGGTTATCACTGGAATATTTTTCTAAAACAAGCATGTGTACGCCACTGACTTTTTTTCTTTTGTTAGCGAAATAGTATAATCCTTGATCCAAGTCTAATAGCAACCTTTATAATACCTAATAGCAAGATTATCATTAACTTGCGAAAGTTTTAAATAAGTACTTATTGATTCCCCATCAAAAATATCAAAAAAAGTTCCTATAAACATAAGTAGTTTTAGAGTTACAGGATGTTAAAACTTATTAAAATTAGTTTTATTGTAATTATCTTAAATACCATTATTTTTTATTTGAAATTGCTCTAGGTTGGATTAATAGTAACAATAACTAATATTAATAATATTTCATAATAAATTAGGTAAAATATATAATTTATTAATTTTATTTTTATTTTAATTTTGTTAATTGTGATTAATAAAATTGCGTTTACCTCATCAAGGAGATCGACTTCGACAAAATATCAAGAGTTAACTTTTAATTGGCCTTAAACGGGCTATACAATTTTGATATAAAAAGAAAAAAGTCAGTGGCGCACATGTTTCATTTTTTTTGGAAAAATGTTCCAGTGATAACCCATATGAACGTCCCTGATGAATTTATCGAAATTTTTTAGCATTAAAATATGTAGCACTTATAGTAACTTTTACCCTCAAAATTTCATTCGAATCACTAAAAGTACTTGGAAGAAAATTATAATAAATCGAAAGATTATTAAGAATTTAACACCCTGTAGTTACGAAACAAAGCAGAATGGGACCTATGTTAATATGAAAAATAAATCATATTTTTACGTGAGGAATCTCCCCGCGAGAGATGGCACATGTTTTTTGAAACACCCTGTATAACAGATAGAGACAATGGCAGTTTTTTCTGTCATTTTAGTTTAAAAGTATTGTTTTACTGTCAATTTTTGAATGCTACCTGTCAAAATAATTTCTTGTCTCATTGAATAGACTGTAAAGTTGTGTATTTTTGTAACAGATTTTAATTGTTATGCAAATTTGTGTACTACAAATAAAGAGCTACTCTAAAATTTGTCTCTGTGAGTTCTGATAATCATATTCTAATTTTGAAACGTATTTTTTTTGTAAGTAACATATTGTTCTGATAATTTTTTTTTATTTTGATACTAAATTTTTAGATCTTTATCTTTACAGACGAATGAAAGTATCACCAAAATAGAAGTTATGAATTCAGTTACCTGGTTAAATCTTCTTTGGAGAGAGCCTTCCAAAATGTTGTTTTTAGTCGTGCCGACATAAATATTACCATCATTTCTTCCAGGTCTTTGAGGATAGATTGATCTGACTCCACCAAAGATGTCAGGAAGCTAAAAAAATATATTAGATGATTATTTATTATCATTTGGAGTTGTCGGAAAGTGTTAAAGAATTTTGTAAATAGTGTTTCGAATTTCAGAAATAGGAAAACTTACTTTTGTATCTGTTATCCTTTTGTAGTTTTGTAAAGAATCCCAAGCAGCGATTCTTCTGTCTTTTTCTCCACCAGACAGCAAAGTTCCTTCTGATAACATTACTAATGCCCCTACACCTTTATTATGAGCTTCATATTCCATTCTGACGAAATATGCCCCATCGGCATCAACGCTAAAATAAAAATATTAAAAAATGCAATTTTTATAATAGTCTATCTCTATCTAACCTGTAAATAGTAATAAAGCCATCACTGTCTGCAGTTATAACATCACCATCTTGTTCAAATTGTAATGAAGTAATTAGAGTCCTGGAAGGCTAAAATTTTGAAATTTAATATAATTACCGTGTTGTTCTACAACAGAATAATTCATATTTTCTGACCAGTGAGAGAGTATTTCATTTCGACAGATAAGGTCCAAAAAATATCAGAAAAATTAAACTAACATCCTTTTGAATTAAAATGACAACTCTCACTGTTATATATTATCTTACTGGCCAAAGATTATATATAATATGTTATATAGGGTGTTCGGGAGTTCTTACCGGTTTAATAATATCGGTCCTCTCGAAAAATCCATCTTTTCTTCTATTCCAAAAAGTTAAGTGGCCTCTTCCATGTGTGATCATTAAATTGTCATCAAGAGGATGGAACACAGCCCCTGTTAATTCTTCTTGTAAAGTCTGTAAAATATGATAAATCATTAAATATTCAATAATTATTTCTTATTAATATTAAATTATTTATTGATGTATAAAACACGGACACAATAATATATTAAATGTATCATATTTCAACATCTTTGTAAGACAGTTTTTTTTGCAATTTACCGTTACAAATTCTTAAGTTTTTGGTATTATTTTTATATTAATTATTGTAATAAAAGCAATGAAAAAAAAATTTGCGCCGGGACGTACGTATAGCCGCCCATACTAAAATATGTTAATATCTCGAAAACTGCAACTTTGACTGATTTTGATGTTATTACAAATTTTGTTGCAAATATTATTCCTAATCTTAATTTGAAAACCGCGTTTCGCTAGCTACTGTAATTTTGGAGTTACGATTTTTTAAAATGTTTAACCCCCTCCCATACCCCCTTACCAACCCCCCACCCCCACCAAAAACTAATAGCCAGATTCTCGGGTGCCACAGTTTTTTTGTGCCAAATTTGGTTAAAATCGGTTCAGCGGTTTTTGAATTATCGTGTTACAGACGGCAGACAGACAGACAGACAGACAGACAGACACTATAAAAATATTTTGTATTTAGGTCATTTATGACCCAAATATGACCCAAATAACTCATTTTGAGTGAAATTAAAAAAACTTTTTTTTGCCGATCTTAATGGCCTACCATACCTATTGGTATGGTCGGCTAAAAAACCTTAACGATGGAATGTGTATGGTTTAGCTATTTGCGGTCAAATTTTGTTTCTCAGTTCGAGTTCAATCTTGTAGTAAGTGTTGTGAAAGGCGACAACAATGCCACAATTATCGCTTTGCATGAAGAAGGTAGTGCGAAGTACTGTAAGCCGAATTATACAACGGTATATGGACACCGGAAACGTAAGATCTCGTCCAAGGTTGGGCCGTATAAGGGTAACGACTGAACGACAGTTCCAAATCGAGTCAGTTCCAATTCGAGAGCTACGATCTCAGTTTCAACAAACTTACCACCGAGTGATATAAAGCCGAACCATTTCCAGGCGATTTTCTAATACTGGATTGCGGCGTAGACGTCCACTGCCAGTCCCTCTATTAACTTTACACCGTAGGCAAAAGAGGCTACAGTGGGCTAGAGAACACCAGAACTGGTTATTATCTCAGTGAAGGAACGTAATTTTCACTGGCGAAATCAGGATAGGTTTGATCAGTGATGATTATCGTCGGCGAGTGTGGAAGGAGGCAGGGAGACAGCATCGCTTGAATACAGCCCTTGCTGTTGCTCCTTATCAAGGAGGAACCTTGATGTTGAACCTGGGGTGGCATCATGTACAATAGGCGAACAGAGCTCATTCATATTCCTGAGGTGATGAACACCCATTTGTATGTGGAAACTGTAATCAGACCAATAATTTATCCACTGCGAGAAGAAATCAGCAATAATTTTATTCTCATGAATAATAACGCTCGTCCTCACAGAGCTAGAATGGTCCAGGAAGCATTAAATGAAGGGGAAATAACTCGTCTGGACTGGCATCCACTCTCCCCCGACATGAATCCTATTGAACATGTCTGGGACTACATCACCAGAGCTGTATTTCGCAGAAATAACCCACCAAGAAATCGTCAGGAGTTGATCATTGCCGTTCAAGAGGAATCGCAGAACTTACCTCAAGAAACCATAAACAACCTTATAGTGGGGATGCCCCGACGACTTGATGCACTCATAACAAATCGAAGAGGCAATACTTTATATTAGCAACCTTAATTTTGTCATAATTTATTATTTATTTATTTATTTTCTCTTTTTTGTCAAACATTTGTCTTTATGGAATTTGCATTTTTTTGTATTTTGTCAAAATATATTATTAAACTTGGTAAAAGTTTTCTCTTTTTTGTGTTATTTTTTAACATAACTTTAGAATCTACTGATTTCCACGAAAAATTAGTTTGAAATGTAATTTTTTATTAAAATAGTAAGGGGGTGCAAGAGTTTTGCCGATGAGTTTATTTCATATCAATTAAACTTTTAGTTACGTAATCGACCGCGCGATTTTTGAATTAATTGTTGCCAACCATGGACATATTCGGCGCCGTGTTGACTAACTGGAATTTAAATTTCGCACTGGAGATTGAGGTGGTAGCTCTGCTGTAAATATGTCAAATTGCTGCATTTATTTATTTATTTCCTGACATTGTCATTCGTTTTGACACTTTAGTTTTGTATTACGAGTTTTTGGTTTAAATAAATAGTGTTGTGATACTTTAAGCTTGAAAATGTTTACTAGCAGACCTTGCAATCGAACATTGTTCTTTTAGAACCTATTTTAATGCGAAGGGTACAATATAGTTTAATAGCCGTAAAAAACTCATCGCAACTTTATTAGAATATTTTGAACGGGAAAACGGTAGTAATGGCCCTTTATGTCATTTAAGTGCTGTTAAGAAGGTGAGTTTTGTTGATGTAAATAATAACTGTTTATATATTTCTAATTAATTTATTTTTGTTTCTAAAATATTTTGATTAAAAGAAAATATGTAGAAGTGGGCAACGCTGTGCCGGCCAAGCTTAATCACGTGACTAAAAGTGTATTTGGTATGAACTTGTAGGTATATCTATACTGATATCTTAAAATTATATAAGAAAAATTACATACTATTATTGAGCTTCTTCTAAATTTGTATTCCTAGTTAAGCAAAATAATATTAAATAAAATGCGTCTCATATTTTATACTATTATGAAAAAAGCATGTCCAACGAGTCAGGGAAGATGCAACAAAAATGACAGACACAACAATGTCAAGTCATCTTCTCGTTGCATACACTGTATTGTTATATTGTAGATGTTTGACGTACCATTGCGATAAAAAAAGTAGTACAAGAATTAGTAGTCCCAGATAGAACTCTATATAAGGATATCTCACAATACTTCCATGTTCTTGAATTTTGGATTTAGCCAACAACACTGTTTTTTTGTTTATCCCTAATGCATCTACAATGTCCCTTATGGGAACCCCATCCCTTAATCGCGTAAATATAATCGATTTTTGCTATGAAGTTAAAGGCATTTATTAAAAATTACGTGACACTGACACAAGAATTCTGATGACACTGAGCTATCAGTTTGATAACTTGTTTTTTTATACCTAGTATTCCACTTTTTGGAGCATATTTAAAAAAGTAATATTTTGTAGACAGTTTTTGTTGTAGATAGACTTAAATTTTCTGATTGTGAAATATAGAAAGAAGAAATATAGTGTATTAAAGAAACTTAGTAATTCCGAAAAGAGCCTATATCGATAGATATAAATCATAATATAACCTTACTTTTCATTCTTATTTTCTAATTTCAAGCAATAACTTCTAGCAAATCAGTCTAACCTACTTTTACTATAGCCCTCGTTATTTTACATAGAGGGTTACTTAGATTATTTACCTTCTGCAGTACTACTTAAGGCCCTTGCTAATTAAAGTCATATTTCACCTTCTTCGCGAAAGGAATTTTTTACTACTTAACAAGCAAAGGACCTGTACACGTTTGGGGAATGTATTTTTCTGGCACAAACTCGAAATATTTCATTTCCTTATTTACATAATAGACGGGTTCGTGAGCTGTTGTGCAATTTAATAATCTTAGTCAAGTTTTAGCCGACATATAATATCAGTAATACGGCCATTAATGTCATACAGAAAATTTTAAATAATATAGATTAATAAGAAATGGTAGTATCATAGCTCAAATAAATATCTAATAGTTAAAAAGGTTTTCAGTAAATATTATCCGATTTTGAATCATATTTAAATTATTTACAGGGTGTCCCAATATTCCGTGGACATAAAACTACTACATATTTTTTAAAAACCTGTCATTGGTGGAGTTGAAAAATACTTCTGGTAAAATTTATGTAGAGGTGGGGGTAATTTTCATCCTTCTCGTACTTTTTCTTGATTTTTAAGAAAGTCAAATATAAAAGCACTTAGCAAAAGATAGACACCAAAAATCTCATTCAAATCGGAATAAGGGTTCTTAAAATATCTGAAGTGTGTTTATTTATTTAAAGTTTGATGGCCCTCTAGCGGACAAACGAAGCACTTTTATATAAAGGTAAATTGTGTCCAACGAACTTATTTTGATTCAAAAAATACGTAGTAGTTCTACGTCCACAAAATATTGGGACTCCCTGTATAATTTATAATTATTAATAAATAATTACATTACTTTCTACAACAAGAAATTTACATTAATTCTGTTGTTTTAACGTGATTTTATAGAACTGGGTCAAAATAAAATGAATGACTATAAATTCCTTATTTTTAAGAATGTAATCATGATATGCATTTTTCTATTTTCAGTGTCAGTGTTTATATTCAGTATTTAAAATTATCAATCTTTATTACAGAAACAGATTTATTACGCGATTAATTATATTTAGATTTATAAATTTACTATATTAACCTAACTAAACAAACTTCCTTTTATCAGAGATAAATAAAAACCTCAAATTACAAAAAATAATTTTATAAACATACCTTAATAGGCGGACTTTGCTGTGGGCGGTTCTGATGATATTTTAATTGCCAGAAAAACTTTCTTGGGAATGACTGTGCAAAATGTTTCATATTTCGAAGTACAAGGTGAGGGATTACGTAGAATTTGGATTGCGTGTCGAATAATGATCGCTGGATATTGATGATTAATGATAGGAAGATGTAAATTTAAGAAATGACCATCCTTCTGAATTATATTTCATATTAAATTGGTGTACAAAAAATAGAATATGTCATGACAAAACAATCGCTATTTTTTACTAATATTGTTCTCTATATACAGAGTGTCTTGAATTATGTGTATCAAGATTCTATTGGTGGAAGCCAAGAACAGTTAACCTAATACGACTGCTCATTCAGCCAAAAGTGTCCGCCAGGTGCATGCGAAAACTACTCGCTTTGTGACGTCATTGTAGCCCTTGTCATGGTTATTAGTCCTTATCCGGCAACCAATAATACACACACGTGC